CCGACGACACGCGGTGATCCGACGACACGCGGTCCGAGATGATTAAAGTCCGGTGGTTTCCCTCCGTCGTACACGACAGCACCCTTTCCCAGTGCTAGACATCGTCTATACGCCCCATGCAGACACCGAAATGGCGACTCGAACTCGATCATCAGACGCCAATCCATCCAAGACCAGTCCAACACACACACAGAGGATCCATGTACGGCCATTGTTTGACGCGAGCACAAGTGGCGGTCATAACACCCACACACCCTCTATTCGGGTCCGTCCACTATTTGATCCGTCAGCTACTGCTTTTCCCAAGGCCAAATGGGCTGGGGGTCCTGAAAGAGATATCTCCAATGACCTTCAGATTCCTTTTCTACCACTTCACCCACCATTAGGGCCCACTTTTCTTGACACTGAAGCATGTCTTTGTCGACGCGAGCCGGATCCAGCCATATCAGAGGACAAGGCGGGGAGTCTTCTCTGGCGATGCTCGGGGAACCAAACGGTAGCTGATATCGACTTCACCACGGGAAAGTGGTTCAAGCCCATCAACAACGATGGAAAAGATGCCCGCCAAGTTCTAGAACTACCAATGAACGATGGATCGAACCCCCCGCTGAGAGAACACCCTTTTCGATGGGATCACGAATCCTCGTCTTTGGTCCCTGGAACGGATGGCTTGGGTGTTTGGGACCAAGCCTGCACGGGAGAAAATCGAACCTCATTCTCGACATCATACTACCGTGCCGTAGAGCAGCGAGACAGAAACGAAGCTCCAGTGGACGCAGCCCCATGTTGGAGACCTGGCGCAGTACCCTTGAGGTTGCAGGATGTGGACGACTGGAAGACGAGGGGATGTCTTCCTGGCTTTCAGTGTCCGTTTCTCCGCTAGTATGGGATCGAGTTGCTAGCTCGCTAACTTCACTTCGAACAGGCCAAAACAATACCGTCAACTCATTGCCGCAGTTTTGTCCCCCATTTGCCGAATGCCAGATGGCTCGATTGGGTTACCACGCATGCGCTATCGATGGGACGAACATTGGGATGGGGCCGTTCGAGCCCATCATCTGTCAAGCTGGGAATTACTGCCCTCCAGGTGGCAAGACTACCTTTAGCTGCCCAGCCGGCCACTATTGCCAGCCTGGAGCAGCGACACCCACCCCCTGTGCTGCTGGCAGTCTTTGCCCTGAGGGCTCCTCGTACGAACGATACTTCATCCCTCTTGGGGTCTTGATTGCTCTCGACATTTTTATTATCATTGGAATCATCATCCTCCGGTTCCGCAGTCGTCTTTCATCGAGCGCCCAGGTTCATCACAGCAGCTTGTCGAAGAAGCCGGAGTCGACAGTGGTTGGGTTAGCGAGGGCAGTAACCCGGCGCAAGTACAAAAGGATATCAGAGGAGGGTGAGAGCTCAGATGATATGGACCATGAGATGCGAGCTGTGGGCAGTCATCCACCGCCTGGTAGGGGAGATGTTTGGGCTGGCTTTCAAGAAGCCTTGACCATGCCTGTCCGGTCGTATCGAAACCCGGAGGGAATTATGAGCCCACAAGGAGAAGACCTGGAGAAGAGCCTTCCGCCCCAGATTAGGGCCTTCATCGACTCGATGCGCAAGGCAACTGATGCTTCTGATATCGGTCTATCATTCGGTTATTCTCAGCTTGCGTTTCAGCCAAAAGGAACCAGTCGCCCAATTCTGCAGGATATCACTGGCTCCATCCGAAGCGGTACACTCACTGCGGTCATGGGCGGTTCTGGAGCAGGGAAATCAACATTTGTCAATGTCTTGATGGGCAAGATTGAGTACACTCACGGCAAGGTGGAGGTCAACGGAGTACCTGGGAAGCTGGCGCGGTACAAGAAGCTGATCGGCTATGTCCCCCAAGACGACATCGTTCTTCCCGACCTGACAGTGCGGGAGAACATTATGCACTCTGCACGGATACGCCTTCCTCGCACTTGGACTTCCCAAGAAATTGAGAACCATGTTACCGCGGTCATTGACTGCCTTGAGCTCTCCCATGTCCGGGACTCTCTGGTTGGCAGTGTTGGAAAGCCTGTCATCAGCGGTGGTCAGCGGAAGCGTGTCAGCATTGGTATGGAACTTGCCGCAGCACCAATGGCGATATTTCTGGATGAGCCAACATCTGGTCTTGACGCCACGTCAGCAAGCTCCATAATGCGCACCCTCAAGGCTATTGCGAGACTTGGCATTTCTGTGATTGCCATCATCCATCAGCCAAGAATGGAGATCTTTGAAATGTTGGATGACTTGATTTTACTCGCCAATGGCCAGCAGCTCTACGAAGGGCCAGAGTCGGGTGTTCAGCCCTTCTTTGAGAAGTTTGGTTACATCTTTCCGAAACATGCCAACTATGGTGATGTGGTGACGGATATCATCACTGGGAATGGAAGGGCGTACAAGACGTCTGGGGATATCTCAAAGGATGCTTTGATTGCTAACTGGGTTGCGTGCCGGAAGGAGATTCAGAGTCCGGTGGTGCCCACGATGGAGGTGTCGCGGCCTGGTAGCCCTGAGAGTGGTTCGTCGACTGCGGGAGACGACGACAATGAGCGGAGGAATACTCGTGTCTCGGTGGTAAGACCTGTGTCACCCTTTACTGTCAACTTGGCCACTGCAAAGTCAAAGCTCCGTCAAAGCAGTGCTTCAGTTCTGGCTGTCGGGAATTTCAACGCAAGCAAGGCACCCCTTGGCCGACTCCTCAAGAAACGCGGAGCCTCACGGCTCAAGCAGTTCACCCTATGTCTATCCCGCGCGTTTCTTCAGCAATACCGCAACCTGTCCGTTTTTTGGTTTGAAGTTGGGCTTGCCGCCCTTGCTGGGTTTCTGTTGGGTCTGGCAGAGAATGCGAAGAATGGTGTGTTGTTCATGGGACTTTACCACCGGCCCTATGAGATTCTTTCGACTGCATCAGACTTCAAGTCAGCCCCCGAGATGGCGTTGTTGACAGCCATTGCTATAGGTCTTGTCTCAGCCGCTCCGGGGGTGCGGGTGTTTTCCGAGGAGATGCTGTTGCACAGGAGAGAGGCGGAGGCGGGGCACTCGAGGCTGGCGTATTTCATGGCGAAGAGTGTGTCTGTTTTGCCGAGAATGACGATGGCGTGCATGCACTTTACGGTGCCGTTGTGGTTGTTGAGCACACCTATCATGGGATGGGGATTGGGCTTTGCCGCGAATTTGTGGTATTTCTATTGCATTTTTGGACTGGCGAGTGTGATTAGCATGGTGGTCAAGAGGGAGGATGCACCGCTGTTTGCAACGATGATTGCGTTGATTGTGGGCATTTTGAGCGGAGCAGCGCCGCCGTTGAGCAGTGTGCGAAACTGGTGAGTCTTTTTCTCATTGAGGTGGTGTTGTGTTTCACATGTTGACTGAGGTGTTATAGGAAAATGGAGTGGTTGTGGAGGATGAGTCCGGGCGTGTGGCTGGCGGAGATTTATTTTGGGCAGCTTGTGTCACCATTGGGGTATCTCTACGACATTGAATCAGCGGCGTTCATGACAGGGTTTCGTCTGGATGGGCTGTGGCAGAATATGGGGATTTTGGTGGGTATTGGGACGATCTACAGGATTTTGGCATTTGTCGGGCTTGTGTGGGGGACGAAAATGAGGATCTAGAGATGGGCAGTTGCCAGTTGGAATGTTTGCTGTCGTTAATACCCCTGTTTGGTTTATGCTACAATCCATTGTTTCTTTAGACATTCAATTTTCCTGACCTGATCCCCACTCACTGACTCTCACAGGCTAGATGATATCACAACAGCTCGAGTCTCGGAAATCCTGCATTCGGCTATCGCGGTAAAAACAAAGGATGGCCACCTGATCTCGATCATCTACTCGGTTACCGAAGTCTGACAACACAACCAATATCCGTCGACGAATAACACTCAACAATAAGCATTCCCTGCCTATACCGACGACCCGAAATCCGAGAGCTAGATATCTGGGGTATGGGGATTCTGGAGAGAGAATACGCCGTCTTACCAAAGCCACGCTACTGGTGGGTTGACCAATGGTATAAATGGGTCTCTTCGTATAGAGCTACACTATGCCAAACCCACAGCGGGGATATTGATGATCGACGGGACCTCATGCAGCCGGTCTGCAGGTAGCTTGTTTCTGGGCTGACATCTGTCGTGTTAACACATGCTGTGCCTGCCGGAGAATATAGTCCTTGATATTGTTCTTTGGGGTTTCATTTGTTTGCTTCCTTGGCACGGAGAGACATGAGAGGTGGTACAGAACGCCTTTGATGCAGTGATAGGGCTGGTGAGTGGATAATATTTTTTTGATGACGGGCCGGGAGGGCGCAGGTTTAAAACTATCAGGCCTGTTTGAAAAATTCGCGATTGGTTGATCTCCATGTTGATGTCACCGAAAATAACTAACCATCGCACCAAACCCAGATCGGACCCTTGACAACAGCACCCATGGTCTGACTAGGACTAGTCCGAAGGCATTACGAGAAACGAGCAGTTCACAACACACGATTGAAGCTCTGGGACCGAGTAGAGAGAAGGATGCACGTGGTCAGCTGAGGTGATGGGGAGAGGTTGTGTGACTAGCTCCACCAATGCCAAGCCAGGGATTGACGCACTGCCTCGTATTCCACGTTTTTTGTTCCCGGGTCGCATTCACTTTTGCTGGGAGGCTAACCGAAGAGGTGACATCGTGTTGAGCTGAACTATCGATTTGAGTGAAGGTGACATTTTTGCACAGGCGGTAGAGTGATGGGAGGCATTCTCAGTTTTGGGATGCCGGGTGAGGGATATCTTCGGGTTGGTCGGGTGGAAGTGGGATCGATGATGGAAGTAGATGGAGTCACGTCACCCGATGGAGCGCGTTACTATCAAGAGAGAGGGTGAAACTAAAAGTATAAAGGGAGGTGTTGTCTCCCGACTTGAAGATACAAAAGCTTGATAGACCAGATCACAACATCTCTTGCAACGATTACAACATCTATCTCACTTGAGCATACACAAAATCATGAAGTATCTCACCCTTCTCCTCGCCGCCGTCGGGCTGGCCTCTGCTACCGCAATCCCCGTCATCGAGGAGCGCGACGTTCAGACTGTCTCTATCAAGTTCAAGGGTGGTCCGGCGGAGTATTCCTTGACCTTGCCTGCTGATGGTTCGGAGGTTTTCACCAGTATGTTCCTCCCTCCTCTCCACCAACACCTGTTCCCACTAACATGACGATAGACAACGTCCTCTCCATCTCCATCATCGAATCGTCTTACTACATCTCCGGCTTCTGCACTTTCTACACCGACGGCGAGAAGGCCCTGCAGCAGGGTATCTCCTCTGGAGGCCTGAACCAGCTGTTTGTCGGCCCGCCGCAGCCGATCAAGAGCGTGAGGTGCCAGGGCTTCTGCTTGCCTGTGTATGGAGACTGCTATCGCAATGGGCAGTATGTGGGACCTTGCTGCAATGGATTCTGTGCTGCGAATAAGTGCAGACCCTGGGTCAACCCTTATACTGGGAATTAGAGGCCGGGGTGATTTTGGGTGTGGAAGGGGTTGATGAATGATGATTTCATATAATGCGGATGGAATATTGGGAGGGGTTATGGATTTCCTTTGAGGATACTATGGAACGGGTCATTAGGATGGGAATGGACTTAGATATCACGAATATACGCTCATTAAGGATCAGGGGTTACGCTACCTAGTTTTACAAATGTTAGGAATTACTCTCCAACCACGAGGCAAAGCTTCTATGCTACCTTGCCTTCATCGACTCCAAACCATGCCAAATCCTACCTATCAGAAGCTCGAGACGTGTCAAAAATAAACCTTCAGGTTTCCCAATACCCTTCCAAGCGCATTTTATTCATCCGTACCATTGAACATCAAGGGATAGGTGCCTACCTACCTTAGTTCACCACCCAAGCGGCAGACATAAAAAAACAAAGAATTTGGACTTGCAGTACTAGGTAGTCGCCATGCAGGTTCTGGCAACCTTACCTGATGTGAAAACTGCTGTTCCAATTCTCGCCAAACCCCGTGGCCAACGATAACTACCTAACATTTTACGTGAGTTCAAGACGACAGGCTCAACTCTATCCTTTCATGTACACCCAAGGCCAACTGAACTGAACAGCATAACACTAACAGGGGCAGTTCGCAGACTTCCATGGCCACTATCCCTAGGCAATTAAGCGGCTGCGACTGCAATCCATGAGATATTGCACGAGTATAACAAGGTATGGCCCCAACTGTTGGCATGAGCGGTGAACCCCTTACAGTCAATGCCAGTTGCGTATGTCTTGATGCGCCAATCGGACCCGTTAGGTATTTCAACCGAGCTGATAGCAAGCACCACAGAGGGCACCGAGGTAAACGGTGTGCTGAAGTTGATACGTGACTGGGCCTGCTGCCATGGCCGGACGCCAGTGTCCCAGACCCCAGACTCCATCGCTAGAGGAGCTGGGTGTGTTGGAAAATTCGAAAGACTCGAGACTAGTGCCGAGAGCTGCTCAACCTTTTTCGACAGAGTTTCCGTCTCCGGTTGTCACTCTGCGTGTCCCCAGGCTACACCCCTTCATCTTCACATTCGCCTTCGCTTCCCAGTCCAGTACGAAGACCCCGACCCTCCCGACCATGATCCCCACCCGGGCCCAAATCGCGCCCCCAAGCCGGACCCCAGGGCACTCCGCTTCCATCAATTTGAGCGTTGCCCCCGCGCGCATCGCCCTCGATGCCGGAACCTCCTTCACCGGTCCCAGTGCCGCCCTCTCCCCCTCTACCATTACCTCCAGCACCTGACCCCCCTTCGCCGGTGCCAACACCACCCTCCCCCTCCTTGCTATCACCTCCCGTACCTGAACCGCCCTCTCCGGCCCCAACGCCCACACCCGTTCCTTCAGCTGCGACCACCCCAACACCTGTCCCTGAGCCAACTCCGGTGCCTACACCAGCGCCAACTCCCATACCCGCCCCCAGTCCCGCTCCTACGCCCGTGCCTGCACCGATTCCAGCTCCTATTCCCGCCCCTATGCCCGTGCTGAGCCAACCCCGGCACCTATTCCAGTGCCTACACCAGCCCCTATGCCTTTGCCTGAACCAACTCCGGCCCCAAGACCCGAACCTTTCCCCGAGCCTGAACCTTTCCCCGATCCCTCCCCGTTGCTTTGGCGACCGATACACTGCCACTTACACTTGCGCTCATGCTCGAGTCATCAGTGCTATAGACCTTGATGGTCACTTGAGGCCGGAAAAAGAGGCGCCTCGGCACGCCATAACCGCCAGGTTGTTCCTCCAGAATCGGGACCTGACTGGAGCTCACCGGGACGTTGGCCCAGGGGTAGTTGCCTCCCAACAAGTCATCTTGAAGAAAGGACTCGAATCCAGCGTCGGGTCCCATCAAAACGCAGTCGTCGGGCCATGTCAGCTCCATACTCTCCAGTGGCTTCATACTTCTTGAGCCTGCCGTCTCTGGCCGCTTGGGCAGCTGTGGTAAGGACTGTTGCCCTCCTGGAGGAGGCGGCTGTGGCGGCTGGGGCGGCTGGGATGCGCGTAAGGAAGGGGCCATTATTTCTGAAGACTTGAGAGAGTGCATATAGATCGGCTAACTGTCCAACCAACTCGTGATAAGTTTGCTGTTTCCAAAACTCTTGGGATCTTGAGAACCACAGGATTGTTGCATATTCTTTTATCTCTTGCTGCTTCTCCGAGCGTAAGAGAACTATGCCAGAGTCACTATCGAAAGTACCCAAAGCCTTTAGTTGGGCGGCCAGCTTGTCTGCCATCGCAACTGTCATGCCAAGGTAGACTTACCTGTCAACCACGTACCTAGGTACCGTAGGTACTCAGAGGTAGGGACAGAAACCCACCCCAATGATCATGAAAATTGAGAAAGGAGCCTGAAGTCATGTGAAAGGCTGTTGGAATCTGAGTGCAATGGTACCATTTGGTCAGAGAAGACACTCAAGGCTCTCCACTCTCCATCCCCACAACGACTACTCCGTCAAACACGAAAACAATACTCAATCTAATTGCCCGACCCCTCGCCTCTGCTTTGTGCGGTGCCCGACTTTTCTCTACCATCCAGGGCAGGCAGTCTCTGACTAGAACACAGCCAAAGAGAATTTGTGGTTCGAGTCGCAGGCATGATGTAGCCTCGTGGTTTGGTGTAGGTAGTTCTCCACGCATTGCCTAAGCTAGTCGATGTCCAACTGCGTCTCCGCCATAGGCGTTTCCTCCCTGAGCGTGATTGTCGCCACGGGCATCTCCGCCCCGGGCGTCTCCTCCTTTCAGTCCCAGTTGACCGATTCCTTCCAGTTGCTTCTCTATGTCGATGTTTTTTGGATCTCCAGGGCTGCATTAGTTGTCGCGTTGGTTGTCTTGGTGCGCGGGGGGGTGGTCTTGGCCTGTGTTCACGCCTCCTTGTGGTTTTTGTCCGACCGAGACCCGGGCATCCCCGCCGCGCGCATCTCCAGCACGTGCCCCAGCTCCGTGTGCATCTCCGTAACTCTTCCACGACCACTTTGGTAGAACAGGAGCATCAAGAACCAGCTTTCTGGATCTAACAACAACCGTCCACAAGTCTAGAACCAAAGCGCACAACCAACAAAACATCAGCAAAGATGCCTCGCTTCACCAAGATCACAGTGGTGTACAGATACCGTCCCGGTATGTGATGCCTCATCCCTGTCAGCCCTTCAGCTTATTTCTATGTCTTGCTGACCACCGCAATGTATGCAGTAAAGAAGAACTCCAAGGAGGGTGTGGGCGAGGGTGAATACGAAGACATACGCGATGACAGCACTCTCAAAGAGATCAAAGCCAGGCTTGCAGCAGACACGTAACCGGTGACCGGTGAGGTGACAGTCTGGTTTGAGGGCAAGGTGATCACCAACCTCAGCCAGACTCTCGCGTATGTCTTCCGCCACGGTAAGACGGGAAAGCCCGGGCCTCTCGAGTTTCGATAAGACTCGAGCGTGGCAGTAACCAACGGCGGGTTTGCGATGGGGGCAACGGCCGTCGCCAAAAAAAGAGGGATAGGTTGAGGCAGGGGCCATGGCGGTGAGATTGACGAGGAGGGCAACCTTTGGGGTGGAAAGGGGGTTTGGAGGTGACGCTAGGGGCCACCAGGCGATTGCCGGCCTCGCCTATGGCGGCAAGGCCAATATCAGCAAGGGTCTCCGCACAGGACAAATGGCTAAAGGTGGAAGTATTGTTGCGGGCACCGCTGTAGTGCTCAAGTAACCTTTGTGGATGGGAGCTTGGGGGATGTGAGCAAGATATAAACTCAAAGCCACGGGCCTATTTGAACCTTGTCAAGAAGGTGAATGGGCATAGATAGATATATGATACAGGCATGGGGCAGCGGGCTCCACATTGCCCCTCAAATGCAAACGCTCTCATTAATCAAGTAACCCTCAGCCTGTACCCAGGAAATCGACTTCACCCACAAAGTATCATTACTCGCCTCCCAAGTGGCAAACAATAGATGATTATCATCATCCAACATCGCCAACCCAATCTGTTCCTTGCCCTTTGCATCCGGATATGAAAACACCAGCGGGGCACTATTCCCTTTCTTCTCCAGCTTCTCCCACCTGGTAGCTTGCCACTTTCGCCCTCCACCAAAATCACCAAAGGTTCTATGCTGCAGCTTTCTTTCTTGATCCAACGCAACGACGTGGATCTGCTCATCCTTGGTCCCGGCGCCGATGACCACTGCACTGGGGATACTGCTCCAGTTACCCCCGATAGACCTTGGCTCCGATTCGATGCCCTCCTCCCAGGTAAAGTGATACATGTTCGAGTTTGTCCCCACACCAAAAAAGTATATCACGCGACCCTCATCGACGGAGACTGCCACCGGATCTCCACGGAAATTGTGGCCCCATGGATTCCATGAGCTCCAGATATTGTTAGCGGTGGAAAAACGAGTGCTTCTTAGCTCGTCTGTCCCTTGGCCAAAGGTGAAGACGGTATATTCAGGGTCGTGCTTGCTGCAGATAACGGCAGGGCTTGTTCCGGAACTGGCGAGGACGGGAATACTCGTCTCGTCCCAGCCACCTATCTCCTTGGAAGTGTCCCAAGTGTTCTTGATAACGGTCGTCGAATTCTTCCCCAACATCCACATGTCGTATGTCGGTGCTGACGAGTTGTCCGCCAAGGGTGAATTGCAAATCGCGATAGAGCTGAGACCGAAACCTCCCAGACTTTCCCACTCCGTCGTCCGATTGGCCTTTGTGAACCTGATCGTGTTGACATTGCCTGACATGGTGCTTGTGGCGAAGACATCCATGCGGCTCCCGTCTGTCGAGGTGATGACTGTTGGTGCCCCGATGAAGGGCATGAGCTCCATGCCGGGACCTTCGGCAAGGGTTACCCAGTCGGTGGTCCAAGTTGCGGGGGCATTATTTCCTTCAGGTTGAATTCCCCACGAGCGAAACCAAATGTTGCTGTCTCGGCCTCGGGAGAAGATGTGGAGAGAACCGTTGAAGACGGCAGCAGCCATTGTCCGTCGGAAGATTCTTGTGCTATCACTTTGGCAGGCGGATCCTGTGGTGTTTGAGGACGTTGAGGATGAGGGAGTATCATTTTTCTTGCTGAGCCCGAGTCCCAAGCCGAGACCAAGTGCTATTGCTATGGTTGCTAATAATAGGGCGACGGCACTCCCGAGAACGATCCATAATTTTCGTCTTGCTGACCCGGGACGTGGTGGTAGTGTCGTTGTTGGTTGCGATTGTGTTTGGCTTGCTGTGGCTGGCCGCGATGTCGGTTGTGAGCTTGGTGGTTGGTTGAAGTTGGCGCTGATGGCGATGTGCGATTTGACTTCGGGAAGAGCATCCTGATTGACAGCCTCTGGGATGGCGCCAAGAGGATAATGTGTTGGGACTTCCAAGTCGCTGAACTGTCTGACTTCGGGAAGACAGTCATCGTCCACGGGCATCATGCTGGAATGGCCCCATCGATGCGGTACTTTTGTCGTGTCATTTTCTGGGCTTAGTGGTGTGTTGTCTTGCACATGGGGTGTTTGCGGAGTTGGAGTTGGTAGACTTGTTGGTGTCCTTGGTGAACGAGCAAAAAGCATGGTGGCATTGGCGTTAGTTGGACATTACTGATCACTGTAAAGAGTGATGAGGTGACGAAAATCGCGCTCATGGGGGGCAATGGAGAGCTGAGATGCAGTCGGGATAAGGTTAACTGCAATGATTCGATCTCCTCAACATGGCAGAGATACCGGCGGCCTGGATTGACGGCCCAGGCCATGCAATGACCGTGCCACAGCAGAATCACTGCAGCTTCCGTTAGCGTGACCAGTGAGAGTGAGGGATTGTGCTGGTCACCGAAGGCGCTCTCACGCCTTGTCTCATAGTGCTGATGATCTGCCTCGGTGGCGATCGTTAAATTGCGGGTGGCTGTCAACTTCGGGAAGGGAGAACCGCAGGGTCTTGTCCTGATAAAAGCCTTAAGACCTATGAAGTAAAATTGAGATGGGGGTCGCAAAGATACTGAAAAGAGACAGCTGCCGACCTGCCGAGAAGATGGCAGCCATGAATCACGCCATGCCCATTGATGTGCCCAGGCGACCACACCTGGCGCCCTAGACGAGCAAGCCACCAGTCTTCTGGCCCAGAGGCGCCCAGTGACATTGTGCCGCGATCCCCGAATTCTGCGACACACCATTCGGCTTACATCTTACCAAGGCGACGCTGAGTCAGACGCACTTTGGCGGCCGCATTGGGGAATTTGCTTATTCGGTCATCAATCAAATTTGCACATGTTCATGCGGCGTGTCTCCTTCCGTCTCTCATAGTTCTCCCACATGAGAGTTAATTCCAATCATGACATGCATCAATCCTAGGTTTCGTGGTGTAGTTGGTTATCACGTCAGTCTAACACACTGAAGGTCTCCAGTTCGAGCCTGGACGAAATCATGTCCTTACCGTTTTGCCTCTCCAAGCCCAGAGGGGCTACACATCGTTTTTGCTCTACTGTCTGTCCTCTTTTTTTTTTAAATACTTATCTTTGAACAAAAAACGCAGTTGACATTGATCAGGAGGAGCCTGCCTCACAACTACACTGGCTACCCCCTCACGCCAGTCTTGTCAGGCGTCCTCCAACAGTATGGACTGACCGGCCAGCACGCGGTCAGCCCATCTGCCTGCCATTTTCACCCATATCCCGTCGCATTGTGATACAGCATGGTGGAAGTTCACCTCCATCAAGGTTTCTTCTCCCTGCGGGCAACCCGGCCATAACTGTCTCAAGGTCGCTTTGTAAACTTTCCGCAACTGCGTTGCTTCGTACTCCATTTTATGGATGAAGTACAGGCTGTTTTTGCCTTCACTGTCGAGGTAGTCCGGATCATGGCGCCTTTCTGCCGCGGCCGCAGCCTGCTCAGGTGTCTCATCGGCATACGTGTCCCGTTGCGGCTCCTCCTCTCGAACAGGCTCATCAAGAAATCTGGGAACCTTGGTCGTCATCCAGAGAGGCATGGCCGAGACGCATTCCCAATCCAAAACGGCTGTGATTTCCCCTTCTTCGCTTACCAAGATGTTTTTAAGGTGGAGATCGTGGTGGTAAAGAACTGTTGTCTCTGGCTCGTCCAGGTTGGGAGGGAACACTTTGGGAATAAGAGAGAGCAATTTCTGCGCCACCGTAATAACCTCCTCAGCATCTTCTTTGTCGTCTTCGTCCTCGGAGCTGTCGATGATTGCTTTCTGGTCAAGCATGACGATGTTCAACTCTGCGGTGAGCCAGTCGCGGCTGGAGTGAAAGGGACCCCTTGGGATATCGTACTGAAATCGATCACCCATAAAGAACTCATGGGACACAAGCATACCGGGAGCAACCTTTCCCAGGCCTTGAATCTCTTTCCCCTTCTCAAACTCCCGGAGTTCCAGCGTTCCTATTCCACGGAGCATGGCCTCTGGTTTCCCAAAGCCCGAAAGCTCAGCTTGGAATGTCGCGAGTTGTTTTGTGAAGGCGACTTTCTGCTCCATCGACATGGTCCGCCACCGTGTATGTGCTGGTGTGCCCTCTATAAACTCCATCAAGATCCACTCAAATCCGATTTCATTATCGTTACTGTCGTCAAAGCCCAGTGCCTCGGGAACCGAATCATGGTGTTTTCGCGCACCCACCGCAGTGTGGCCACTTCGGCACGCGTTTTGAGGCCGGGATACACAGGCAGCGTGACCCTCATGATGACACGGCGTTGGGCGTATTCAACAATGTAGAGTTTGTTAAAGAGACCAGAGGTGTGGAAAAACACGGTGCAGGGGTCTTCCGGAGGGATGCTCAGGTGCTCCCGACACACAACTTCGATGGCGGGAATGGAAGGGTCTCGCGTCCATTGTGGCACGAGGTCGAAGGGTGTCTCTTTCCATTCGGACCCATCCTGAAGTCGTCGCGGCATATTTGCTCAAATTCGAGTGTTCGTGTGATGATTTGGCAAATGGTTTGTTCTGGTGGTGTTTGTTTGCTTGATCACGTGGCATAGGGCAAAGGACTGTTGATCGTTCTATTGGCTGGACAAGGCAAAGGAGAGGAAGCACAGGGTGGGGCATCATCCCCATACCGGACACGAGCACCTGGTAAAAAGGTAGGTTGACGTATGGAACCAACTCCGCCAACTGTTAACCTAGCCAGTACTACTCCCTACTTTGCGGTCCTGGCTCTATCCCGTTTACTCCCACCACACATGGTCAGTGATATCCGGAATCTCGTCCTTGGGGACATCAACCAAGCACCACTTCTCGAACCTCATGCTCCTCATCTCTGAAGAGAACAAGTCGATCTTGTTTCACACAGGCTTTGGACAGACCCAACGATATATCTGCCCTCTTACATTGGTATCAGGCTTTTCTCTGTCAGGAACTGATCCCACAACTTGCTTCACTTCCAGCGCCTGGAACCATGCATCAAAGCCATCTTTGTTGTTCATATTGATATCAGCAATATCTGAGGGGAACTTGCCATATAGCCTCAACTGGCCACTCCACCCTGACCTGTCCTCCAACTTCCAGACTCTGTTGTGATAAGCACCATACCGAACTGCCGCATTCTCCTCTTCGTCGCACTCCGGCTCGCTGATGCTGCGAAGATTCCCGATCGGGGCGACCTGCGCAGGAGCTAAGACAATACCCCTCAGAATGAACCTCTCCGCACCAGTGATGGCATCATAGAACAAATTTGCTTCGAGGTGGAGCTCTGAATAGCGCCCTTTTAGTGTGTAATCGTGCAGATGGAAGACGAACTTGCAGGGAAAGTGACCCGGGCTCTGAAAATGCTTTTCTCTGTCCCAAATATCACGAGCTTTGCGGAGTACGGCGTCCATGTCCTCTTCTTCGTAGGCTGGAATCCACATGCCACGATCCGAGAAAAGATCTTGATGAGGACTAGAATTCTGATTGCCATGGTTTTGTGAACTCTCAGGCCCTGACGTTTGTCTGCTCAATGGAGATAAGTCAGGAGCAAGACGGTCATACTGGGAAGGCACAGTTTGAACGAAAGCTGAACCATGTGATCTTGAGAGTGGGTGAGTGGAGGTTCTGTGTCTGAGAGCCCCCTAACCTCACTCGAAGGATCATGAGGGTGTTAAGGGGATGTTACAGGGACGATACGTGAGGGCTGTTGTCTGTTGTCAACCATTACTGGTGAGCAGGCTTTGACTTAAAGGGCTAGGGTGATCGCTCGAACTCAGTCTTTTGAAGAAAATGTCTGGAGGGATCAAGGTCGTTGAAAGCATAAGCCGCCAAGCGCACATTGCCCCCTGAGTAAGCAATACAATGCGATATCCCTTATTACATCCACCATCTACGCATTAGACACAGCTTGAGTCACTCGTTACATGTACACACGTCATGAAGCACGAGTCACAAAGGCGATTGACAAACGACTAAGCTGTTTGTGTGGTGCTTCTAGTCATTGTTGCTTGCACCCCTGACCCTACCCCCCACCCCTTCCCCCAAATCAATCAAACACCCCTCAAACCGTCCCCCCATCCTTCCCCAGTGCTCCTCTCCACAAAACCACTGATACACCTTCCCCTTTACCCTCCTCCTTTTCGCTCTTCCCCAATCTCCACCACCCACCCCCCTATCTCCCTCACAACCAACCTCGTAACCCACCTAGCCCAAATCTCCCCCCTCCGGTTAACACAAGCCAACCTACCCTCCAAATCCCCATAAACCCTCAACTTGCCCTCCCATTCCTGCCCTCCCTCCTCCCTCGGCAACGGACTAAGATCCCAGCTCCTCCTAAAATGACACCCCCACTCCAAAGCACGAGCATCACTCCTGTCAAACACCCCACCACTCGTCTGTAACTCCATCACCAAAGTCATAAACAGGAGCCATCTGCGCAGGCTGGACGTCGTGGTGATCAATCCTAAACGGATCCATTCTCGTGACTGTCCGGTGGAAGGACGGGACAGAGAGGTGGAGTTCGGCGTAGCGTTTTGTCGAGATTGGGTCGTGGAGGTGGAAGATGAATTTTGCTGGGAAGGAGGAGGAGGAAGACACGATGGCGGAGCGGCTGACGGTGACGGTTTTTTTGGGTGAGGTCGGGGTCTTGGATTTGCGGGGGGAGACAGGTTTGAGGATTGAGCGAGGGGAGGGAGGGGGTCGTATCGGGTGGGTGATGAGGGGACGGACTGGGGTTGCCAGAGTAGGGTTGGTCTTGTTGTCAGCGCGGAATCGGTTGAGGCTCTCTCTTCCCTGGCTAGTCTCTGCGCTCCGGCGCGAGAGAAGGAGTGGGGCGCGGCTTGGTTTGGTGTCAAGGGTCTGTCTGTGGGTGTAGTGCTTCCTTGTGGATGGGCTGCCGGGGGCGGCTGGCTGGTTACAAAGGGGTTGCGGGAATCGACGGTGTACTTGATGTGCCATGGGGCTTTGTTGGAATACCTTTTCTCTGACACCATGACAGACGTGGTGGTCCTCTAGTGCGTAGAATAACTCTGGAGCTACTGCTTGAAATTCGAAAGTACTATCTATCTATCCTCAGGTTAATGATGTTAGCGCTGGATGGTGCTGATTGATTCCGCTTAACAAACTGTGCTTTTCCCCGAGTTTCACAATTACCTCCTTTGCCAATTGAAATTCCTTATTCCCCTCTCATCCCTTGTTTGTTCGCTAGGTGTTTGTGACTCATGGTCATGGATCTGTAACAACCAGTATAGACAATCGGCCCCTTTTTACTCTCCTCCATCTAGGTACTGAACAGAGCCTCTCGAAACTACCGGCTCCTTTTGTCGGCTGTCCACACCAAGCCTAAGGAGGTCCGGCCGGCTATAGTGGCCAACAATATCCAAGAAACCCCGAGCTGTGACGCAGTTCGTCAAGTCCAAATCAGCAAATATGATACCTCCCAGAGTATCAAGGCCAACACCAATAGGCCCCAAATACTTTATACCATCAGGTCCATTACCGAGACGCTTAGTCAAGCGTCTACCATCAGGTCCAATGACACAACTGTGTCCACCACCAGGCTTTGAGCAAACAATTCCCTGCCGCGTCCGAAGCAGGCTAATGCTCTCCTGTTTGCATACAGCAGTGCTGTGAAGCACATAGGCTGCACTCTCAATGGCGTACGGTTGGGATAGATTCTGCGCACCCTCAGCCGTCATGTTCCACAAACCTCGATAAAAATTCCGGGCCTAGGGGACACCAGGGTGGCTAATGAGATGAGTTGAGATAAGATGACCCTCGATTTATCCCATCCCATGGCTTCGGACCTTCGGCTCATCCCACAACCCTCACAGTTTGGCTCATCTCACTGGCTCATGAGACTTCCGGGGGTTTTTCCAGCCCGATATCTTGGCAGGATTATTGGCCACAGAGCCACAAGCCTCACCCCCAATATCTTCACCACCAAAGGTCCAAAAATCACCACTTTTTAGTAGCCCAAAAAAGGCTCAACAATATACCCTTCGTCTTATGAGACGTGAGACAGGACGGGGGGTCGTTTTGACTTGTCCCACGGGAAAATGAGGCAATTTTGGCCCATCCCACGGTCTAATCCCATAAGATTGGATGAGAGCGTCCCATCTCATTAGCCACCCTGGGGGACACAGGCGGCCACATGGCAACATGAATCTTTTCGCCCTGGGAGATGGTGTGGTACTTGAGGAGCGGCTGTGTGTGCTCCAAGGAAGCGAGACATCCCACTTTGACCATGCCGTGGTCAGGGCCAAAGTAAATCTCGGCAACGTTGTCGAAGTCGTTGCCGGATCCGTCGCCAAAGATGGTGCGCTCCATATGAGTTGACTTGATCTTGCGTCGGTGCAGGAGGACTTCGCCCTGGGGGGAAAATGATGGCCTGGGAGATGTAGAGACTGCGGGTAGGGCTTCGTTCGGCAAAGCCAAATACCACGGCAAATGGAATGTTCTTCGGCGGTCGCTTGGACACGGTCCATAGCTTCTGATTCGACTGGGAGGGCATTGCAGACGTATCGTGTGTATAGTTTATGGTCGACTGGCCGAGCCCTATTTTGAGTTACAGAGACATCATTTGTTAGCAGTAGGTAGTTTAAGAGGGTCGAAGAGCAAGAGAGCTTACCAGATCCACGGAGGGTACCCAGGAGCCCAGCGGTCGGGAAATGCGACAAGCTTGGCACCACCAGCGGCAGCCTCGGCGCTAAGACGACATGATTCCTCAATGGTGGCCATCATGTCGAGGTAGACGGGCTCCGCCTGGATGACTGCGACCCGAAATGGTGTTGGCATGGAGAACGGCGGCAAATGACGGGACCCCTCACTACTAGAGGTTCGATTGTTTCGGGGTATTAAGCAAAGAAGCAAAGATGGGTGATGAAATACTCAATGATTTGGTTAGATATATACTGGGCATCTTCCAGCAAGCACCGCAGATGTTGTCGGCTTCTGTTCCTTCCCACGAGCGGGTTTCCCAAAGACACTTCACAATTGGTCGTCGCCGTCATTGGGGCGCATCTCGGGCAAGAAGAACCTGGCTGTCATCCGCTCAGGACAAGACTGCCTTGACACTTCTCCGCAAGAGAGAAAGTTGTACCTCGAAACAATGCATCCAGTTCTGATTCATGAAGACTTTTATCACCCCTGCAGCCGGGGCGGCTGACAAAGATCAGACTTTCGGGCTGGCCCCTTTTGACGACCTTGCCTCTCCTGAGCGCCGGTGCAAAGAGCACCCGACCCACCTGGCGATATTCGGTGGTTTTCATCAGTACGGGAAAAGGTCAGGATGTCTTTCATGAAGTGTTAGTTCCTGAGCGTGACCAGGAATTCTTTGAGTACATCGACTGTCATGACACGACGGGGATGTCGAGTACGGCTAGGGCAGAGTGATAACAACTTTAGCAGTAAAGCCCATCGAGTCTGGTATCATAAATGTCATTGATACATACCTATCGTATACAGCCACTACAAGATTACAAAGCATGAGCAGGAAACTTCTCACCCTCCGACCCCCTCGAGTGTCCCCTTTCCAAGTCCCCTCTCCCAACAGATCCATCCACCGACTTCACTGTCGACGCCTGCCTCCTCATTTCGGGCAGATCAATTCCTACCTCCTCGTCATACTCCACCACCGCCACCGCCCCATGTTCCTCATCCTTCACAACCCCAACCTGCCTCACACTCGAGAACCGATTCCCACCAGAACTCCCCAAACTCTCAAAAGTCCCCGACCGGACCCTCTCCCCATCACCACCTCCACTCCTCACTGTCCCCGTCCCCCTACCCCTCCCAAAGGTCCTCAAGTAATAATTCCCCCCCTGTCCCGACCGCTGCCTCTTGCTCCCCCCAACAGTGATATCCACCCCCAACCCCCCCAAGCACCGTTGAAACACCCCCTTCATAGCCGGTACACAAGCCGCCAACACCCCCAAGAGCTGCTCCAGCGCAGTCCAAGTACAGATACTAACCCCCATAGCCCACCAATCATCCACCGCCGCCGTCGGATCCCCCCAATCCTTGATGATAACCGTCTTGACAATACTGCTCACACTCGCCAACAGCCCCATCCCCATCAGCACGCAAACAAACACCCTCTCCCTCAACGGCCTGTTCAGCTTTCTCAAGAAAGTTATCGGTGTCAGACTCAACAGCAGATCGGTCGTGATGTTGATCCCCGAACCTAAATCAGAAACGGCCTTCATTACCTCCACCGGTACACACCTCCCACCGGGGGTCAACACATCCCAAGCCGCCTGCAACGGCTGGCACGCGATAGCCAGGCAGAATATCGTGTTGCCTATCCCGTAGATGGCCAGGATGACGATGATGGTGTACAAGAATACCCTCCACTTTCTTTCGGAGCCTCGGATTCGTAAGAGTGTAAGCGCAATCGAGATCTTGATGCACGTCATGGCCAACCCCCAGACGGGGATGGCGAGCCAGGAGTGCTTGCCGGCTTCGGTGCCGCGGGAGAAGGGGATGTAGCCTGGTTTGGGGACCATGAGCGGGAAGAGGAGGGACCAGTCTGCTATTGCTAGGATCTGGACATATATTAGGGTTAGCAAGGGCTGTGGAGATTATGGGAAAGGGAAGGAAGGAAGGAAGGAAGGAAGGGCCTACAAAGCCAACAATGATGAACCAGTCGTCCAGACCCATCTTGAACACAGGAAAGACCCGTTGGTAGATACGCGTGAAGAAGGTGATCAGGCACAAGGCCATCAGTATTGAGGTAACGCCGATGAAGGTCTGGGCAAGGTGCGCCGCCCGTTCGGTGACAGGAATGCCCGGAGGTAGGCCATCTGGCGGTGGCGGCGGCGGCGGAGGCGCATCAGTCGGGGTAAGCGCTGACATCGTGCTGGTTTGTCGTCGTAAACTTGCTATCAGTCAGAAACAAAAGAAACAAAGCATCAAGTAAAAATTTAAAAAAAACAAGAAATCCCAGCGGGATAAACAACTTCAGCAAGGATAGGGGGCTCCTCCCCTTAATGAACTCACTCAAGCGACCCGTCCTACAATCAAGACCCCTTTAGAACTCCCAAGCCAGAAGCCTGACGAGCTCACCCAATTCCCGATATTTGGGATCGTCCCTCCTTCCGCTCCCGGGAAGCTTATTCGAGACAAATGCACCGCATACCCCAGATTCCAGATCTCAGACAATTTGACAGATCAAATGTCAGTGCGCCCCCCCCCCCCCTCCTTCGCCGGGTCCCCTAATCCCCTCCCCAGATATGAACCATTCAGGCGGAAATCTTGGAAAAGGTTGCTGTGCGCACGAGCAACCCACAAAAGTTCCCCAGCCCGCCCGGTAGCAAAATCTGGTCTTGTCAAAGTCCATCTCGCAACGTGACTGGCGGGAGGAGCGGCATGTTACCAAGCGAGTGGCTGATATATACCTGCATGCATGCATATTTGCTGCATCATCCATCGGTTTAAACGAGGTGTCAAACTTGGATACAACTGGATGTACAACACGGGACGATGTTGACAGGATCAGGGCCTGAGCGCAAAAGCTTGACCGTTCCTTCAAGACAGACGGACGGGATGAGTTCTGCCAGCAGATCAATATTCGCTTTCCGCCCCCGTTGACAGCTTCAACGACGGAACCGAGCTCTGGTGCGACAGCGCCTCAGGAGGAGCAAACAACACGCGCTCAGACTCAGGCTGCCGGCAGTTATCATCTTCATATACATCCATCTCGCGTAAGTTGAGTGGGCGGGGGCCGGCCAATCTATCCGGCGTATGAGAAGACAGAGCTTACCAGGGATCAGCGTTTCTTTGGGCAAATGTATAGATTGCAACCGAAATTGAAGTAATGAGTCTTGAGTGTGAACATGAAGAGTTTTCTTATTCGACGAGATGCGTACAGATGTTGATCGACAAGACCTTGACAACCGGGGCACACCACCGTTACCCCGCAAAATGCCACCAAACACAGTGATTCGACCACTCCCTACCAGTATAAACACCCAGAGCCAGCAAATCTTAGTCTTCCTTAATAATACCCCAGCATATCGCCGCCAGTTGTGAAGGGCATCACTGGGAATGCTTCGTTAGACGAGCCATGCTGAAGGAATCATCGGTCAGATATCAAGGAGATTGCACGTACCTTTTGCGCAAAGCTCTGAGAGCAAGCCATAGAACCCCAACAGCCAATGATAATTCCCACAATCAGACCGCTCAAAGCGAATATGATCATGTGTTTGAATACTGGTCGCTGTCGGCTTCGTACCGACTTGGGCGTACTTGGAAACGTGACCCAGCACCGAACAATGGTAGTCGAGGGAAGCTCGGCAGGGGCGTGAGCTGGCTGAAGGGTAGTGACGGTATCTGTAACATTGCTCGTCGTAGGATCTCGAAGTTCTACGGTTACCGCCTTGATTGGTTCGGTGGTACTGTGGACCGTAGTGACTGTGCCGTGGAGTGTTGTGACGGGGCATGAGCAAGTGATCTTGGGAGGAGTAGGAGAGCAGCGGATGATTTTGCAAGCCTTGCAGTGAGTGGAAGACATTGTTGCTGATGCCGGTTGACTTGTGGACTGTTGGTGAGGTGTTGTTCTGGATGTTGTGGAAGCTGTTGTGGGAGCCTGAGGAGCGAGACAAATCAGTCCCGCAATGTGCATGGGACCAAAGGTCCGTTGTTCCTTCCATGTCGAGGTCGTCCACTGCCACTGCTGATCGGCCCCGAGACAAGTCTTTGGAAGGTACAAGGGGGTAATTATCCACTCGCTCTTTCCTAGACGTCTCGAAAAATAATTGTCACTCTCACAGAGGTAGGCATCATGCTTTGACCAATGGTTAGCAAGCCTGGCTTCATGTTCTGACCTTCAGCTTCAAAGCGGAGTCGAACGATTGCTGCATTTCTTTTTGGCTTCGGTGGGACTGCTCTGTGATCTGTTTCAGTATAGTATCTACGCCTATGCTTTGCCATCCGATGCCGTTTTCGAGAAGAGCCGCCGAGTTACGTTGTGGCGGGCAATGCAAGTGCGCCCAGGCATTCATAGTAAAGTCGCAAGGCAACAGTCATCACGCCAAATTTCACTCTGGAGGCAAATCCTATCTACCCGTTTGCCACCTTCCGGCCTTTCCTCCTCTTTGCTATCTCACTGAATGAGGTGTCTGGAGTCACCACTTGCTGCTCAGCGATGCTCGGCTAGCGATCCTGCTCGCCAGCAGAAGGGGAGCTGGCACCCGACTGCATCAGGTTTCCTAAATCCTGGGAAAGCCCGGTCGCCTCAGAAAGTGGTGGGACATCCAAGTCCAAATCCGACGGCAACTGATTGATGGCAGAGTAGATGTTCTCGAAATGCTTGGGCATCCATGTGTCGTAGACATTCTTCGTGAATCGATATGCCATCCATTTGTCCTGTCCGTCAAGTGTATTAAAGTCAAATTTGTGGATTGGCTGGCGGTAGTACTTGATGCCTTTCCCGGCTATGACCGGGTAGTGGCCATAAATCCGGACTGAGGTATGGTCATGCGAGACGGAGAAGGCGAGGATCTCCCGGTTAACCTCATCCTCGCGCTTTACAGCACGGAAAAGCTCGACAATGGCCCGCACCGCAAGGGTCATACTGTGGGCGTTCTGTCGGTCGGCGATGTCGAGCCCCCCGGCGCCGCACTTTACCTCGCAAGTCAGGAACGGGAAGTACATATAGTACGTGGCCATAAAGAAGGACTGGTCCCCGGCGATAAAGTCGCCGATAAAGGGCGATAGCTTGGCGAGCTGGTCATCGGTAAATGCGTCTCGTTTGAACCCAACGGAGTAGTCAGGCTGTGGACGGGTGCCGGTGAGGGGGATCGAATTGTCCCACTCTTCGGTGCGCCTGGTTGCGTGCTCTCGAGGACTGTCTTTGCGTGGCTAGGTGTCTTGTGGTTGATTCCCTGCAAGCGTCAACGGGAGATGTACTTCAGAGCTGTGGAGAATAGGTACCTTGATAATTTGATGCCAGTGGTGGGAGCGCCCTTTGAGCCGCTATTTGGGCTCGAGTGTGGGCCATGGCGATGAGAACGGAGGGGAGGGATTCTGTCTGTATCGGGGAAGCAAGTCTCGAGATGGAGTGACGTGCAAGGAATGGATGGCTGCGAGCGAGAAGGGACGGGATCCACTCATGCCGACCAATCATTAAGCGCCATAGTCGTTGTGAGCCCCACAATTCCTGCCCAATGGGCGGATCGTTTGTGTCAATGCGAGTCTGAGCGCAACCAAGGTTGCAAAGCCCTGTCAAAATAGTCAACCGGGCCCACTGTTAAGGAATTAATATCTTGGCAGTGGGACCAGGGCCACTGGGTTCGGCCTTTTCCAGCCACCCGGGCAACTCACCCTCGTACAACAACAGAATTGACACCTTTTTGGACCCCATATACGTTTTGACAAGCCCAACCTCAATGAACGACCAAAATTTTGACAAGTCTTGATTCTTCTGAAGTGGCAGGAGACAAGAAGGCATGGCGGACGCGACTGTGTACGTGCAGCAAAAGCAGACAAACCATTGCCTTCTTGTCGCTTAGTTGCACTTAACTTGGTCAGTTCTCGACGACGGGATGAACTATAGGCTCGGCATGAGTACCTTGATGGTTACGAAGACATAATATGTGAACAAAGACTTAATCGCACGAAGTGTCTTTACGAAGACTTCCGGTAGGACTTGGGACAACCTCCGCTTCAGGGAGTAGATGGTATTTGTATGCCGATTGCCAGCTCGGACATGAGCTCCCAACAACTTCAACAATCCTATCGAATCTATGATGACGGACGGCGAGAAACCCCTTTCGATAAAATAACTTTTTTCTACCGAGATTATCTCCATGGAATTCAGAAGGCAGCAAATGACACTGTTTCCGGCTGTCCGTGCACTGTGCAATGCACCTCAACCTGCTGGGTACCGAGTGGAATTGGGCAATAGTGACGGGGAGATATGGTTCAAAGATGAACATGGGGACGCTTACCACGGCGCGAGGGAATATCAGCCAGCACCTGACATGGATGGTGGGTTGTAACCAACTGTTGAATCTGCCAGGATTCTAAGAAACATTGACTCGACTGCATTTTGGAGAGAGACAAAGTGGCAGAGGATTTTCTTGATGAGTGGAGGGTGAAGCAAGCAAAGAAAAAAACACGATAAACTCTCCATTCTCTCATCACTACTAGAATGGTATCATGGTGATCAAGTGTCTTTCTCTTCTTGTTTCCATTTGTACCCGACCTACCGAGCAAGACTGACCAAGTGCTTTTGAATTGCACTCACTACATACATTGAACGCCCCGAACCCACACGCTGAAAATGCAACAAGCCCCCCAAAAACGCCACCGCCAATGCTGCCCGCTAACACAACGCCAAACAATCGTAAATCACCTGCCTATTATCTTCCTCCTCACCGCCCCCTCAACCACATCCTCCGCCCCCGCCCCATCTTTCCACTCTTGTATCAAAAACTCCAGCAACCGAAACATCTTCCTCGTCAACTTTGCCCCGTCCCATCCCCGTTTATACAATTCCGCCGTCTCATCCCCATTCTCCCCGTACCATTTATCTTCGGCAACAATACTAACAATGAACTGTTTATAATGATCCCTTGCTGTCCCTGTTTCTTCAGTCAGTCCCGTTCTCTCTACACTGCACTGTGGGACTCACAATCTGATTTATCAGGATTATACGCTTCCATAAAATCACCATCCTCCAGCTGTTGGATCCGACGTTTTACCGCATTGTCCAAGTCCACAAACTGGATGAAGGCATTCCCTTTTCGAGGGACAACAGTGAGTCCGAGGGCGAGGTAATCGCATATAAATGCCGAGAGGTGGTCTAAGACGAGCGCTTCTTCCCATTCTGTAAAGGATTGGACGGAGGAAAAGCCTAGTAGGCGGGTTGTTCTCCGGCGGGCGAGGGTGCTGGGGAATGGTGGGGGGAGGGGTTGTGGTGGCATTTTGGCGATAATATTTCGAAGTATGGGCTATCTTTGGGGATTGACATGATTGGATTTGAGGTTTGGAGGACATGCTGGGTTAAGAAGACTTTGAGCAGAATGGGGCGTCGCGGTGACGGTGGAGAAGAGCGGTTGGTGGTTCAGGTCGAGACTGTGATTTTCGATGGTGGTGAATGGATTTACAGAGGATTGACATCCGTGGTTCTGTGAATCATGATCTCCGGGGATCGGATTGTGGTTGTAGTGTTGAGGGTGGTCTGGGGTTGGCCTGGCTCATGGGTTGGGGCCAGGAGGTGTGCTACGCCGCGTGTTTTGGTTGAGGCTGACATGGTGGTTTTTTGGGCCGGTGTGGGTCTTCGAGGCCACTGATGGTTCATCATGATAGGAAACGTGAAGATGACCAGCATATCAATGGTCATAAGGGTGATGGGCATTCTGGAAGGTGGTAGAAACAACGGCAGATCAAGACGCCTTTCAAGGGCAGAATGACCTCCGAGCAGTCAAGGGTATTATCATCGCCAAAACATTCCACGTTGTTCAAAACAAGAAGCTCCCTGCTGGATTGATAGACAATTGTCCCATCGAGAGCAAAGTCGAACAGCGGAGACAGCGGGGAAAATGCAGCGGATGGCTAACAATGGTGCGTCGACGGTCGTCTAATGTGGAGCAGGCCTTAAAGCCTGCCGTTTACACAAAGTAGGCACGTTGAAGAGGTGGCATCTGGGGTATATTTTGTGGTGCTGTAATGTGGCCCGAGCGCCTCGCCTCGTCTCTCATCGGTGCAATCTTTTCGGAGCACGAGAATTGCTAAAACACAACCCCCGGCACTCAACAATCGAATCACATCAACAGCTATGGTTGTGCTGCGGGCAAAAGAATTCGTTTACCAGAACCTCCCGTTGAGAGGAATTGCGCGGTTTCTTCTGGTTAACCCATCAAACGACCCTCTCAGTCCTCTCCATTGCAGCCTGCACGACCTACCAATAACCCACCCCACTTACGATTTTCTCATTCCCCCAGTACAGACCAGGAAAAAGACGCGGCCAATTGTCCTTAATGGTAACGAGGCCAAGTTACAGTTCGAGATCGAACACTATCTGCGATATATGCGCCATGAGACCAAGGAGCAGATGTTCTTCCTTCGACCCCTCTGCATCAACCCTCATCAACCTGACGAGGCCAAAAGTTACGACCTGCAGCAGAACGACCTCGTTACCAGGGCTAACCACGTGAGAGGTTTCATGGGAAAGCCGCCGAAACGATGGGATCTAGAGCAAGTCGCCAAAACACTCCGGGAAATGCACGCTTTGGCTGTTAACACCGCGGCCCGCCCACAAGACAAAGACGCTTTTCGAAAACAATATGCGTCCATCCTACGACTATTCTCTCTGCCAGAGCCCTCAAAAGAAGTAAAATCTGTGTTTGAGCGCTGCTTGGAGCTGCTCTGCAACTCAATCTGGAGAAACCGATGGACAACGCTGCAGACAATCGGTATGGTCAAAGGAATTGATCTTTATATTGGCAGGACATCAATCCCTATCGACGCCTTCTATAAGCTGGCCCATTTCATCCACGATGCGAGAACTCTGCAGGCCTGGGACGTTCTATCCCAGCTTTCCACATCAAATAACCTCGCAGCCGCTAGCCGCATTGCCAGGAACCGTATGGGGACGCTTCGGCAGCTAAAACAATGGAAAACAAAATTGTCACCGAATCAACCACTCCCGCCGGATTTGGAACAGAAACTTCGAGATCACTTTGCCCGAGAAGAAAATACATCAGCTTGGAAGACCAAAGTCATGGAGAGACAACCGCACCGTCTGAGGGCGAAAATCAAGCAGGCGATGAAACAAAGGGATTGAAGGTGGAGGAAGCTCAGTTCGCACAGGAAGCTCAAGATAGCAGTGGACATTGTGGAATTACAGAGCAACCAAGCAGCAGATTGTCCTTGGCGGGGAGAGCTTTGGTTTGGAGCCTATTACAACTAACTCCAGCCGCCGTGGCCGCAGGACGCCGACTCTGCAGAAGCCTGAGCATCAGAAAGCGGATCACCTCATCACCACAGCATCAGATAAACCATCCAATGAAGACATTTCTCCACTACACCTGCGATGCGTTAGATTTTGACGAGCAGATGACGTATCCATGCTTTGTAACAATGATCCATGGTCAATAAACATTTGGGGTGATACCAACACAATCAGCCACCCCATTTTTTCGGTGCATGCCAGTTCAAAAATGACCGCCATCCTCACCCAAACGCCCCGTCTCTCCCAGCCACCATTCCGAACCACCACCCTCCACTTTCTCAAACGCAGTTTAGCCACCATGGGAGCGGTCGATATGCCCGGTTTCCCCTTTAAAAGGGCCTCCGGACTTGATCCTCCAGCTGAGTTTGCCAAGCTGAGGAAGACGGATCCGGTGTCGAAGGTGAAGCTGTTTGATGGGTCACCGGCGTGGCTGGTGACAAAGTACAAGGATGTTTGCCAGGTGGCTACTGATCAGCGGCTGTCAAAGGAAAGAAGACGCCCTGGCTTCCCGGAGCTGAATGCCAATGGGAAGCTCGCTGCGAAGCAGAGACCTACCTTTGTGGATATGGATCCCCCGGAGCATACCAAGTATCGGTATGTTGACACTGTCAACACATTCAGGGGTTTGAACTGACAAGCGGGGCCAGTGGCATGGTCGAATTCGCCTTCACGACAGAGCACATCGACTCTTTGAAGCCCTACATCACCAAGACAGTCACGGATTTGCTTGACAAGATGAAGAGCAAGGGGTGCTCCTCTGGCCCGATGGATCTGGTTCAGGAGTTCGCTTTGCCTGTCCCATCTTACGTAAGTTTCCCAAGAGCTAACTGATAGCCCTCCAGTTAGCCGCTAACAGGCTCAGATGATCTACACCATCCTCGGAGTCCCTTTTGAAGACCTCGAGTTTTTGACCCAACAAAATGCCATCCGCACAAACGGTAGCTCAACGGCCAGAGAAGCATCTGGTGCCGCACAGTCCGTAGTATCCAATCTCGGACCAGCCCGACTGGCAAGCTGACATGTGACTTCAGAGAGCTCCTCAAGTACCTCACCCAACTCGTTGAGAAGCGTCTTGAGTCCCCTAAAGATGACCTCGTCAGCAGGCTAGTGACAGAGCAAGTCAAGACTGGGAATCTGAGCAAGGAAGATGCGGTGCAAATGGCGTTTTTGCTGCTTGTTGCTGGGAATGCTACGATGGTGAACATGATTGCTTTGGTATGCTGCTGTTCTTGTATCCATGTGCCAGTGGTAAAGCTAACCATGTGTCAAAGGGCGTGGTAACCCTCTTCCAGAACCCTGACCAGCTTGCTGAGCTCAAGGCCGACCCAGAGAAGTGGGCGGGTCCGTTTGTTGAGGAGCTGTGCCGGTACCATACTGCGTCTGCCATGGCAATGAAGAGGACTGCTAAGGAGGATGTGGAGATTGGTGGCAAGGTAGGTCAGTCCAAAACCTTGGCCAGAAGGCGCCATGGCTGATGAAATTCTCGACAGATCATCCGCGCCGGAGAGGGCATCATCGCCTCGAACCAATCAGCCAACAGAGACGAAGACATTTTCTCGGACCCGGAAAGATTCGACATGCACCGCAAGTGGGGCCAGGAATGTGCCCTCGGGTTTGGGTTTGGCCCACACCGGTGTATCGGGGAGCATCTGGCAAAAGCTGAGCTGATGACTGTGTTTGGTAAGTTTTGAGGTTCTCGGGTGTACGGTGTGGGTTGCACGTGTTGGCTGATAACATGTGGAAAGCCACGCTGTTTGATAGGGTTCCGAGCTTGAAGCTGGCGAAGCCAATCGACGAGATTGAGTACACGCCCTTGGATCGGGACGTGGGGATTGTGAAGTTGCCCGTGAGTTGGTAGATGGTATCTACAAGATTTGGGGTTGGTGGCAAGGGAAGATCAATGCATGTTGGCTGGCGGGAGGGTCTCTGACGATGCGAACCTCAGTTATTTCTGAAGATTTTTGAATCTGACTCATAAACTCCTTGGCTAAGTGGCCTCGATCAAAGCCAGTTCAGTCGTCAAATCGTGGAAGGATGTCCTGACGCTGCCTGTTGATCATGGACACAGAGGGGTCCTTCATAGTGTATGCGCGACAGAACTGAACACATCCTGGGTGGCGAGTCAATAATCATGTACATACTCAAAGGTTCACCGGAGGATAAAGTCGGGTCTGTTTCCATATCTCGAACCCCACTTACAACATCAGTGAGCTATGTCAAGAGCATTACCCTATCGTGACCAACCGTTATGTGGAGCATTGGGCGCTGTCAACAAATTAGAATTTACAGTGCTAAATGGGCACTGTTGTAACGCCTTGGACACATGCAGTGGGAGACTCAGCTGTGGCTTCCTCAATTTCATGGAAGAGACCACCCCCCATAAACTTTGCATTTCCTGTCCCTTCCCGGCCCCGTATGTGGAGGCATGCAAGACTCGATAGAGTAACAGGGTGGATCATACGGTTACACTAAGGCCACCCTGATTTCTGGGCTCTTGGCAGATAAGTCTCCTGCTCTTCATGTATAAATATCCCACTGTACGCTCTTTCTGAGCACCTCTGTTCTTTTGTCAGACAATCTCACAAGTTCAATCACATGCTTGACATCAACTGTCTAGGTTCCCGAACTCAACACTCTCGTTCACTAGCCCAATCATTCTTTCCTTCAATCTTTCTCTCTATAGCCGTCGGCTTTCGCCCTATCCTCGACTACCCTCGCTCCCAGCACAAGTGCAGATAGGGTGTCTTACAGCTGGGTTGGACAGGGCACACGTACACAACTGGATGCAAGGTGAACTTTTTGAGAAGATGAAGGTGGATCCTCGTGGGGTGGTGATTGCTCAAAATATCAGGCTAGTTTAAGGTCTGACTAGCTCATTGCAATCAATGATATGGAGTTTGAAATGCCTGGACAGGGTGGTCGATGAGCCAAGCCCAGTCAAGCTAGCCTTTGGCTTGACTTGACTTGCCGCCCAGGACCTGAACTTAACTTGAGGTCCTTGCCGGCTTGACTTGACTCACAGGCTTGTAAACCTTCTGGTAGTTTTTCCGGCCCGATTCTTGGCAACATACAGAGGCTAAATTAATACTTTCACTACTATTAACCTAACTATTATCAGTATTTGTATTAGAATAAAAGACCTTACACGCTTTTGTAAGTCGGTAAATCGAGCCTACCCCGGGCTTAACTTAGCTCACGCAAAAATTTGGCCGACTTGGCTCATCGACCACCCTGTGCCTGGACAGACTTTGTTGCTTATCTTACTTACCTAAACAGTACTATGCCTCGCCTCCATCAGGGCCAGTGCTAAAAGTAACAATGTTTTGAGAAACAAGGGTCACTTATCATGCCTATCACGCCTCGTTCTGAAGTGTTTACCTGGTGGTTTTCTGCTTTGAATAGTGACCGCACAAAGTTTTCACTCACGGTTAGCGCTTTACGGAGGTATGCTACTTCCATCTGAGGTGCTTGATAGTCAGCTGCCGTGTAACCACAGAGCTGGAATGTGAGATCAGCGCATATCTATTGAATTCACGACACATCCAGAACATGTTACGAGAGCGGGTGAGAATAGCCTTAGAAAAAGCCCAAGTATCTATGCTTTAGATTACATGTTCAGATATTTGGTTGAGAAGCCTGATACTCTCTGCGATTGCTTCATCCAGTCAAGCCGTTCCTCACTGCCAGTTTCGGTTGTTTCATTACCAGGTAGGTGCCATGGGTGGATGCCTTATTTATTTTGCCTCTGGCCCCCATTATGAACTGTCTGGCACTGTGTCACAAGAAGGATGACGGAATGCGGAGTGCTTACCATCCGAGGTCCCAAGGGAATGCAATGATGCCAAGTTTGGAGTGGAGCTGACATGTTGTCTGACAACGAGCCACTTTCTCTCCGAAGGTTGACCGAAGAGATGCAAGGCTCCATCTTATACCAACTAAAATACCCACCATAACTAGAAAATGAGAATATGACAGGTCGAGTTTAGGTGGCGTCATCTGTTAATAGGTTGTCCGGAAGCGCAACGAAAATTAGGGACTGTTTTGTCAGGAACTAAACTCTGGGTCCAATATAGCACGGTAAGCCTATTGCAATAGTTTTGACGACGACCGGCACCAACACCATGACTGTTGGTCTGACCTCAGATAAACATGCTCTTTTGTGTCCTCTTGCGAATAATGGTCACTGGCGAATCATGATCGAGACCACCTACCTTGTGGACACTGCCAAAAGGATGCTTGGCATCATTGTTTGCTAGTGTCTACTCCGACGACGCGTAAGGTCTTGATGCTATTCACGTCGAGCCGGTTACCCAACGAGAGCCAACGACAATGACACAAGCTCGGGTCCTTCCTCTTCCGGTGATGAGGTGATGTCTACATGTGTCAACAGCCTCTTAGCACGACTCGTACAGCATCCTAAAAATGTCTTGCCGAGCTCCATCTGGATGGCAAGTATATAACTCACCATCGACTTGTACTCAACCCTCCCTCCATCCTTACCACCATCACTATTCCTGTCAACATCCTCTTCCAACTTCCGTAACCCAGCCAACCAAACTACCACCTCCAACTATCAAAATGCAGCTCAAAAACCTCCTCACCACCCTCCTCATCACCCTCGCCACCGCGGCTCCCGCTCCCGCCCCAGCGGCCGAGGTTGAGCCTGCCCTCGAAACCCGCCAATCCGTCGTCCGGGTCCAGTTCGAGATCGAGCGCCAAACCACCTTTATCCAGCGCGAAATCCGCGCCGGAGGCGGCGTCTTCAACCGCAATGGCCCCCTCTTCTCGGCCCTTATCGTCAGCGGACCGAGTAACGCCCGTTGCCAGGCTTTCAACGGGAATACTGCTGTGGGCGCTGCTATTGTTCCCAACAGGCAGGTGAATTACAATGGGGCTTTTGTTACGCAGGTGCGGTGCTAGATTGGGATCATGAGCGGCGGGAAGGTATTGGATTTTGGAATGGCTGAGGTGGGTGGAGGAGGAGGATGGAAAACTTTCTTCTTTTGCCAACTATTTCAGACACTCTTTTCATGAAGCTTCATGTTATTATCATTGTTAGCTGGAATTAAGATCTACTACTACTCGTACCATTTGACTTTAGCCTTGCCATTTGATCCGATATGTTCCTCCGCAACTTGAACATCTTTCACGGCCCCCTTCTTTGGTGGTGGACCATTGGGGTCGTACGGTACACAGTCAACACCGTCGGCGTGAGAGGCTCGGCTTGCCGCTTTGCGGTAGTCTTAGTAAAGGGGTTGAGAGATTGATTTCACTGAGTAAAGCCCTACCGGTTGCACCCACGATCAACATCATAAATTTGCCTGTGACATCTTGGATGGTCTGCCCCTGTGGGAATGTAAGCATGATCAGAAGTCACTAAAATAGGTAAGTGAGGGGAAACTGAGCATACAATGGTGGAAAGATGCCCCATGATGATAACCAGCAGCTTGTTATTGCCCTGTCTGACGCAGAGACTCGACAACTTCCAGAATTATGTTTCACAAATCGTGAATAATATCACAGGTTATGCGCCCAACTCAATCCTGGCATAGACGTTGATCTCGAATGGCGCGGAATAGCCCGTGCATTTATCCGGTCCAACCCCGGCGGCCTCTCCCCCTCATCACATCTCATTGAGGCGCAGCCTTGCTGAATGCAACCATGAATGCGGCTTGTATCACGACTGCAGAGAGGCTGACGGTAAGGCAATTGTTAAGGCTCAAACTCAACCAGCAAAACTGCATGCTTTCCCAATTTGCAACAGCGCCTCCGAGTTCAAGTCCGAGGCCTGGGCACTCAGGGGGTGAAAAGGGGCGAGCCAGGAGAAAGGTTAGGGTTGTCGCCAAGACAACGGTTACCACGTTTGATGATCACGAGTGGTCTTCTTCCGAGGGTGAGGTGAGGGGTTGCACTGGACCACTTGTCCCGGTTTGGCATTACGACTTGAACATATTAAGCAATATGTCTTCTGGGTTTTCGCACATCCATAACCCAAATGTGACTGTACACAACGGTTTTTCGACCTGGAGTACGAATGGAAGGAAAAGGGCGTGAACACGTGGAGTGTTTGGTATGTGAGTTAAGTGGTCTTCTGACGGAGAGGTGAAGGCTGATGTTGGGATTTTGGATCAGTGACAAAGTCTTTATGGGTATCAAATTTTCATGGCAGGAATGGTGAAACCCATTAGGCGAAGGGGCTGCCCAACCTTACCTTGAGCTTTGTCCGTTGGTCATCTCGCAGTTTTGGCCTTGGACTAACAGAGTCATAGAGATCGAGGGCGCGAATATTCACAGGACCAAAGACTGGGAGACAGGTGAAAGGATGGCAGCCTCGAAACCGGAGTTCGGCAAGAGATACAAAACACCAAGGGCCTCGTCAACGGCTAGCGATGCAAGCAAGCACGAAATGGTGACCAGGTTGAGCGACCAGCTGCTTTGCTTTGCAGGGAAAGGTTCGGTTTCTCTTGAAGCGAGGTCACGAAGGAGAACACTCGGAAAAGACAGCCGAAAATACATTGCGAGGACATCTGCGCGCTCTCGTGCTCATGCTCGGGTGGCAGTCAGGCCGTCTTGGAAGACTCTAGAGTCAACATCAGTCTCTCCAACACCTCTCAGGTGTTCAATTCGAAGAGCACGGATGATGTCAACACCACGCTAAAGACCACCAGAGTTGGCGTCTCCTGACAAATCGACTGGATCAACGCCTTCTGAGCTCACGTGAAGGTCTCGACGGCAATATATTTGAGCAATGTTGGGCCGAGACGAACATTCTAGATTTCTTGATGCCTGCTATTCACGACTGCCGCTGGCGTGTCAGAAAGCAAAACACTTGGCAGACAGCGGCCCAACATTAATATGAGCGGGCTGAAACCAGGCTGGCAGAGATTGTTGACCATACACTGACCACAGCGATCTCGGCATCCCTCTTACGATCAAGATCAGAGTCTGAAGATCATTTGGTTCAGTTTACACTAGATAAATGTGTGTGTGCTACACAATAAACGGACAACAGAAAAAGCCACCGGGACCCATTCAACCGCCCAACTCGCTGGACCCGGTATCCCACATCCAGCATAGCATCACATCAAACCAATGCTTCCCACCTTTTTCACCTTCCCATCTACCCAGGTTGATCCCTCCTCTTCTTTTCGGGCCGCCCGATGGGATGCCACGTTTTGCTGTAGCGTTTCGCTGGACGGTAGAATTTATCCTTCCAACCACAAACCTCTGTCGTCCTCGCTACTCATGTGTGCCCGTTGCCGCAGTGGCAACGTGGGCATCACAGCCGCCGAAGTCAAGGTCTGTGTGTGACATACCACATGGCTTTCATCTATTTACCCCAGCTCCTGTCATGTTTCGGCCTCTTGGCCTTCCCACTCTTTTGCATCGAGACCTGTCTCTCTTTGCCCAATGTGGCAACTCCTAGAACTTGCCTGCCCAGTCATTGTATAGACGCTCCTTGTATATGAACTGGCTGTCCTATCACAAATCTGCCGCATACTCAGCCTGATCAGGGGAGACCACCCTGGATGACGTCGGTTCCGCACCCTCCAATTGGTCAGATGCCAAAACCATCACTAAAAGGGGTACCTTGTTTATTGACCCCACACGCAACGCGATCAAGGGAGGATTGCCGCCGAAAAGGTTTCTATCACCCGCCAAATCTATTTGGATATTGTCGCCTTCAATATCGACCCCGTACTGGCGGCCAGATGGCTGCCATGTGCTCGGCATTTCACCCAGTCCGTTTGGTACGACGGCAGTTGCTTCCGAATGGAACAATCTTGGAAGAAATGGAGAATACCACGTTTTGGCGGCTCCAAAGAAAGCCCAAGAAAAGAGATATAAACGTAATCCCCCGAACGACCATCATCATCGTCCCTGGTTGAAGTTCTGGTTCAGCAACTGTTCCACAGTCACCACCTCTTTCCCATCGTTCCCAGCGAAGGCTGCTGTTGTCAGACACAGATCAAGACCAAGGAGAAAAACAAAGATGCTTTGGACGTCGCTCTTCCTTGCGGCTCTGGCCGAGGCGGCCCCCAAGGCCAGCCCCAACCCCCAGTTCGGTGGCCCTGGCGGTCTGACCATGCTTCGATTCGGCTGCACCCAGCTCGTCATCGACCGCATCGACCCCCTTGTCAACCCCGGCCAGATCCCCTCGCCTCACATCCACCAAATTATTGGTGGTAACGCCTTCAACGCCACCATGCCCACCGACGATATCGCCCAGCACTCCACCTGCACAACGTGCTCCTTCGCGGACGATTTCTCCAACTACTGGACCGCCAACCTCTACTTCAAGGCCCGCAACGGGTCCTACAAGCGTGTCCCCCAGTTCTCTGCCCCATTGCAGTTCAACGACAGGTTCTCAACCCAGATCAACGGCGGTATTTTGATCTACTACGTTTCGGCCCAGCCCGGCCGCATCACGGCCTTCAAACCCGGCTTCCGCATGCTCGTCGGTGACCCCAACGTCCGCTCCCGCCCCGACCAGAAGCTCCGTCGTCAAAACTGCTTCAGATGCTACTCCGGCCCCAACCACCAGGGTGATGTTGGTGCTCCTTGCATGGACAACAACTATGACACCGAGGCTTTCCCCACCAAGCCCTGCCCCGGTGGCATCCGCTCCAACATCCACTTCCCCACCTGCTGGGATGGCAAGAACCTGTATGTCCCTTTGTCTTCACAACCATATTGAACGCATCTAACATCTCCTCAGTGACACCCCCAACCACCAAGACCACGTAGCCTACCCCACCTCCGGCCCAGCCGACTTCCTCTCCCTCGGCGGCAACTGCCCCGCCTCCCACCCCGTCCGCATCCCCCAGCTCATGTACGAGGTCTTCTGGGACACCTCCAAGTTCGCCAACCGCGCCGACTGGCCCGCCGACGGCTCCCAGCCCTTCGTCCTCTCCACCGGCGACCCTACCGGTCTCGGCCAGCACGCCGATTACGTCTTTGGCTGGAAGGACGACAGCTTGCAGAGGGCGATGGACACCTCTGGCTGCTTCGGCGCCAGCTGCGCCAACTTGAGGACGCAGAGCTTGGACAACGCTAGACGGTGCGCCGTCAAGCCGAACGCGAAGGAGGATTATGACAGCTGTGAGTTTGGCCCTGGTTGACGATGATGTTGAAGTGTGAATGTGTGCTGACTGGAGTGACAATAGGGCTTGCCGCTCTCCCTGGTGTTGGTGCCTGAGTGGCTGACTGTCTTCTTTGTTGAGGCTGCCAAGAAGAAAAGAGGGAAAGAAAATGGGCTGTTGTCGCTCGCTTTCGTTTAGGTTCATAAGAATGCGCAGCTTAATCTTTCTTGCCAATATCTTCGAGTTGCGCCTAGCTTATTTGTTGCATCATATTTCTCGGCCTTGAATCATACCATTGTTAGAATAACACTGAAAGCTTGCTTGCCTTTGATGACGAAGATAATTGATGAGCATTTGATGACCGGTTGATGGAGTCCAGTCTACCTATACTCTGTTATAGGTACCCAGGTTATGTCATCTTTTTCATCGCAGATTCTCGAACATTACGTCCATTGGAGTTCACTGCAATCTGTATCTTCTTGTAAATAACGAGACACTTTATAATCTTGACACCTGACACTGTCGGAGCTATCCCACTCAGACCACACTTTCGTAGATACTGTGATATCTTGTCGAATTTCCACAACATCTAAACCGACATGTACTCTACACTTCAGGTACATTGCTCGGTACCTGCTCAAACTCCATCACATTTACACCAACTGCCCAGTCAGTATGTCACCACTTCATCCCCAAAACTGTCCCTTAAAAACTTCCTGACCTTCTCTGAATCCTCGCCATCGTCGAAGCCCACACTTTCTCTAGTCAACCCTATCACCTGCAGCCCATCCAGCGATCTGGCCCTAGAAAGCGCGACGTAGATTTGCTTGTCCACAAACACCTTCGAAACGTCCACAATTACTTTGTCCAGTGTCATGCCCTGTGCCTTGTGGATAGTGAGCGCATACCCCGCCGTCAAGGGTATCTGTGTGCGGGAGACTGTGGAGTACGGGCTCTCATACCCGACCACGTGGATGTCACACTCAGGGTATATAGTTTTAGTCACCCCGTTGTCAAATGCGACAATGGGCCAGCCGAAACCGCCCTGCTTTAATTTGCTCTTGTGCATCGACGCAAATTCCCTAACCAGTTTCTCTCTAACTTCAGCGTGCTCTCCCCTAATAGCGCCAGTGTTCCAGGTGGGGAGCTTCGTCCAACTGCGAAAAGGTTCATAGCCGACAAGTGTCCCTTGGGAGCCATTACGAAGGTCTGAGTCCAAGCTGGCGAGGAGGAGGACTCGCATACCTTTTTTCAATCTGAGCTTGCGGTCGAAACGGTGCTGATCGAGAAATTGGAGGGTGCCGTCATCGAGGCGCTTGCCGTATTCGAGGGAGTGTTCCCAGCTCCCGGCAAAACCGTCGTGACATTTAAAGATGATGGGCGGGGTTTCAAGTTCTTCGAAGGCCTTGTGGTTGGTCTCCCAGACGTCGGCGCGGACTGGGAAGAGTTTGACGGCATTGTCTTGAGAAAGAGTCGGTTTGGGGCGGGTGAGGGCCGTGATGTCGTGGTTGGAGAACGGAATTCCGAGTCGGCATTTCTGGAGGAGGGAGATGAAGGCTGGATCTTTCTGACGATGAATGGCTTTAAGGTGAATATTCACAAAGTTGCAGTGACTCCAGGCGGCGCTACTGAAGGCAAACTTATCCTCGTCCTTGAAGGTTAGATTGCAAGGTACGCAAATTCGAGTGCTAAGTGGCTTGTCAACGGTTGAGTCTATCCCCTTTTTCGGTTTCCGAAGTTCTCTTCCACAGTTGAAGCAGTGCTGGAAGGGCTTGATGGGAGGAAGTTGACAGAAGTCGCCAGTGATGATGACTTGAATGCCACCAAATGGTTTGGCCCGCCGGCCGGAGTCCCTGCTTTGTATGTGCCTCAGCAGGAAGTCGAGCCTTTCGAAGAAGTTGTTTTCTATCATGCTAATCTCATCAATTATGATGACATTTACTTTCAAAAGCCGTTTCAAAGTCATGGAATCCTTGGAATCCTTGGGGGGGAGATCTTCCAGGGGTATTCTGGTGGAATTTGGTGTCCAGCCAGCAAAAGACCAGGTTGTCGTACCACGGATAGCGAGAGCCACGATCCCTGTCGGTGCCATGACACAGACCGTCATCCTCTCTTCTTCGAGACGTTTGCGCACCTCACGCAGGACGGTTGACTTGCCGCAGCCTGCAGGCCCCGTGAAGAAGATGTTGTGACCGGCAACTGCATGGTTGACGACATCTTGTTGCTCGGGCAAGAGAGTCGGGCCAGCTTGCTCGTCTAGCTCCCCATCTACTTGGTGCGCTCTCTTGGCATTGGTGGTAAAAGGTCTCTTGCTGCTGCCCGGTTCTCTCGCATCCTTGGAGTAAATAATCGCGTTAAGGAATCCCGGTGATATCACCCGACACTTGATTTGCAGCCCCGCAGTCGCTGTTGGTCGGTAGATGCGGAAATCATTGCTCGGCTTGTCTTGTACACGAAGCACACCGTGGCGACCTCGGCTGAGACTGTGTTGTTGATCACTGTTTGATTGAATTAGTGGCGCGATTCTTGCGACTGTGCGGGTTTCTTACCCGCAGATCTGGTATCTTTCCACTGACCAGCCTTTGACTGCCACGGAAAGACTTGACTTGAGCTTGCGAGACATGGTTGCTGAGAAGGTTTTGATGGTGTTGAAGAGAAGATGTGCTTCATTTAATCGTCGTTGTGATGTGGCGTTTTTGCTTGAATGGTCAGGTCAGTCCGTGTATTGGTGGCCGAGTCGATTGCTGCCAGATGTTTCGTTCCAAAAGAGGGTTAGGGGTATAGCAAATGCGGTGCTTATCAGTGCGATTCGATTGGTCAACTGGTGTAAAATCACTCTTGAGGTAGGTAGGGAGGTGGGTAAAAGAATGCTTGCGCTAGATTCTCTACAACGGCAGTAACATAAGTCGACCCGTCCAAGACTTAACCCTGTGAAAACCCAGGATAGTGACCGCCCACGTTCATATTATTCCCAAACCCCATGTCGGTATCACCGACGTTCATCAGCCCAAGGCCTGTCTGCCAGTCGCTACTAGTATCATACTGAGGCACAAACCCAGCATAGGTGGCTGGTGGCCCTGGCTGGAACTGGAAACTATTGTCCACGAACCCAGAGTCGTCATCGTTTGTGTCTGGGGTGAATCCACCCATGCCCCCGAGATTCCCAGAGAGGAAGCTATGGTCGGCGCTGGGAGCGGCTGACATTGGGGGTGTCTGGTAGGTCGACGCGGGCGCATAGCTGTATGGAATATTCAGAGGTACCATCTCAGGCACGATCTCGGGTATAAAGCTCATTGAAACAGCTGAACGGTCCGCAGAGACAATATTATTGCCCCTGGCTTCCCATTCCAGGAAAGCCTTCTGAAGCGCCCCTTCAATGATTTTCGGTATACTGTCCATCCTCAGTGCTTCGTGTGGCGCAATCGGTCGCTGAAACTGCGCCTCCGCAGTCTGCGTAAAAAGGCTCGGCAAGGTGCGGAGAAGAAAGTGCTGAAAGTGCATGCTGGATTGGGCCTCGGATGATATTGGGCCCATATCTTCGGCGACTTCGGGATCTGGCATCAAAATCAGCGATCTAACCTCCCTTTAGGCGAGTGTTGGATCCTGATGGATGCACTCACATGGCGACGATGGTATTTCCTCGTTAGGGAATAGAAGCTGGTATATCTCTACCCACTTCTCCTCGTCTGTCTTTCGCCGGGCATTGTGTTTTCGTGATTTCAGTTGCTTTTCTTGGAGAGTTGAAATATCGCAAGGCGGCGGACCGGGAACGAGCTCACACCCCTGTGGTGACATTTCATGGCCCTGCAATTCTTTGAAATCCCCAAACATTTGCTTGCATCGTTGGCAGTGGATCTTGTAGTGACGGCGATAAAGATGCTCTCTGGATAGGGTTTGTTAGCCTTTGCTCACCGTCTCGAGACCAGAGCCACCTACTTGAGTCTGGAGATGGTTCCCCATGATCTGACGGCGCACACTTCATGTTCCTGAAGGCTGTACTTGTGTGGATCATGCTTACGGAAGGGGCATGCAAATCTTTTTGTGGATAAAGAACTTCGCTTAGACAGCGATGAACCAGGCCGCTGCCCCTCACCGTCGTCATCGTCCTCGTCCTCATCATCGATTGGATAGCGCCCGCCAGGCCGCAGGTTCTTGTTTTGCCTGGAAGAGGCCCCCTTTCGAACCCTCCTCGTCGTGTCGCGGTAGTGCGGGGAGCTGCTACTTCTTCCTGCCTCGCCCACACACTGCACAATAAGAGCGTTCCAGTCATGATTATAGCGCGTCCAAAGTGCTCCCATGCCAAGCTCTACTGTTTGGTTGAAGGTCGACTTCCATGTCTTTGCTGCTGCAGACAAACCGTCATGTTCCAACCAAGAGTCAGTGTCCGACACGCTGTCTTCCGACACTGTCTCGCTCGTGCTGTCATCTAGCCACTTGGCGTTGTCCTTTGCGTGGCTTGAGAGTGTACTGGAGCTTGTGTGTGGGCGGATCGAGGATAGCGGGCTCGCTCGAGCAACAAGTACATGTGCGGGAAGGTGACTAGTCGTAGATGGATCTTGAGTTGGGTTCATTACTGCTATGCCATTTCTGTTGGCAATCAGGTTCGGGCGTGGTGGGGTGTTGCCTCGGCGCTGGTCAGGCTGAGGCGTAGGTGCCCTTGGAAGGCCGCTATCAATGCGACGAAGATTTCCTCGCGCTGTTGCGTTTCGAAGAGCGATGCTAGGAGCAGGGCGGGCTTTAGAAAGAACAGCTGGTACTGAGGAGGGTCTCGCAATGCTGTCTCCAACGGTTGCTGATGGCATTGGTGCCGAAGACTCTCGAGCAATCTTGTCCGCAATCAGTGATGAGAAGCTTGATTTGGCCAGATTTGAAGAAAAGGGGATGTCAAGGTTGGATGACATGGCCAGAGACATGTCGTCTACCGAGCTTGGTAATTCTCGGTGACTAGCGGATGACGATTCAGGTTGTGAGATAGCATTGACCTCTGTAATCTCATCTGGGTCCTGTCGAGCATAACGCTGCGGCAGCACGCTGCTCACATCCCTGCTCACATCTCTTTCCACCCGCTTTTGGGCAAGGTCATACGCCATGAGGGCAACTTCCTCCGCTTCCATCATTGCACTGTTTCCGAAAAACTCAAGGACATCTTGTAATGTGGAAGCTTCTTCGGCATCGAGAAGTCGGCCGCTGTTGCCCTCGTCCCACATGAAGCGCAGTTTTGCTCCTTGTGCTATCTCCTCCTCTGCCACCAAGGCAACCCATGCTTCTTCTACCTTTGGTTGCTGAAGCAAAGCCTTGATGACAAGGGAGTGCTGCCATTGCACCCGCTCAGAACCCTCGTCGTAATGATTCCCAACGTGGTCAAGGTAGTCGGTACGGGATCTGAAGAGGGCAGCGCAGAAGCCGCAACCCCAGGCAGCTCGTAAGGGAGAGTAGCGTGCTGGCTGGGGAAGTTCATCTGTGGGCTTAATTCCATGCACGTCACTCTCGTGGTCCCAGAGCGAAACGGCCCGTCGAAACACTGCAGAACAGGTGCTGCAGGCGTACACCTCACGCTTGTCATGGTAGTCATTTTCGTGCAGCCTCCACTCCTCCTTTGTTGCAAAGGAATCACTGCAGAAGGTGCAGAAGTAGGGGTTTTCTTCCTTGATGCTGTCCTGCCTCTTGTACGAAGGGCTGATGGCTGAGATGGGAGACTCGATCGAGGACTGACGAATTGACTGCCGAGTAGAGGCCGAGAAGGTCGAGAATCTTTGAGAAAAGATGCTTGGCACTGCAGAGGACCTGGCCGTGCTGGCTGAAACGAACGAGACCCACGAGTGTCTGCTCGGGTCGTCATCGGCTGGCGTTTCTTGAATGGGCGTTGCCACAAAGGTGTTTTTGCCCACCCCAGGTGTCAAGGTGGGAAGAATGGGCCGGCTACCGGCGGCATGTCTGATGGCGCCGCTTCGTCTTGGTAAGGCGATGCCAGAGACTCCATCCAGAGCGGTGCTGGATCCTTGGGGTGCCTCTCGGCTGGCTTCATTGGAGTCCATGATGTCTGCCTCGTTCTGTGCTGCGCTGAGTTCAACACGGAGAGCTGACAACGAAAGCGCGGAGAGTGTGACTCGAGGGCGGGGATTCTCAATTACCGGGGTTTAAGACCAGTTGGTTGACTGGTTTCACTTGGCCCCCGAGCAAGACAACACCTTTACACAAAGAGCACCGTCAAACTGCCAGGTACACAGGCCCGGGCAAGGCAACCATGATGTATGCATCCATTATATGAAGGAGGGCAGTGTGTCCTCGCAGGGCTGAAAAGGGGGTCGGTGAAGAGGGCCGCTTGTCGCAGCTGCGCACACTGTTGGGGGTCAGACTCGCTTGCCTATCACGTCGTAGTGGGCTTGGGTGTACAATGACGCCGAACAACTGGATCGTGTTGGGGGCTGTAGAGGCCGTGGCTGACGTGCTGATTGGTTGAAGACACCGTTGTGAAGATCGACCCCAATTACAGGACCCCCTTGCTGGTGGTGGTGGTGCCGTGCCTGCAGGCTGCCTCTTGACGACCTGCCTTCATTACTGTGCTGATGAGTAGTCAGCCATAGGCTCTACTTGGGTGCCCCCAGTCTCCTGATGTCCAGTGCATGATACACGACGGTATACTGGAAATAATACCTGCTGTGGCATCTGGAAGTTCTGCTATCCGTATGCTGTGTCGCATCCCGTTGTCCGCGCTGAATGAAGCATGGTCGATTTGTGAGGTTGCGACGAGATGTGAAATGTCAGCTCGAGGTGCATACGACCAACGTGACCAAGACGAAAAAGACATTAACACCAAAGCTCGGGATGCGGTGTACCAGATAGCGCGCCTCGCATCATACGGTAGGTACGAATATCACAGCATATTTGCTTATCCATCCATCCATCCATGGCCATGTTGGCTGGAGGCATGCACACAGCTATGGCTCGACGCAGCTCGCATTTGGGCCTTTGAGAACGGAAAGAGATATCGGCAAAAGGACCAATGATCAATGATGGGCGGTAAATGGTTTTGATCAGCAAATGATGGACTTCCTGGTGATAATCAAGGCCGTAGGGCTGAGACAACTTCGGTCCGGGGGATCCGATCTGGGGTAGCACAGGTGATGGGATGCGACGGTTCCTTGGTTGATGGCGGCTGATGAGCCCTGTGGAGTTGACGCCGAGGAGGGGGCAGCTGTGTGGCTGTTTTGTCGGCTGGCAGTGTTGTTTTGGAGAGTGGCCAAAAAAATAATGCCTAACTTTCAAGGCTTCCACAAAAGTAGATGCGCTGAAAAGCCAAGACCAGCGACGGGCGCGACCCCACACCGCATGGCTCGTGCGCGACAGCTTGCCGCAAAAATTTCAAAACTTCAGAGTGCTCAGAAAAAATATCCCAGCTCGCTATCGACAACACGCCGACTTGGACTGGTGGAATTGATCAATTGCGCAAGGTACTCCCGCCACCAGCGCATTTCCCCCGTCATCCCACAGTTTCAGAGAAATCAATAGTCACAATGGTGGCCGTCAATTATCTGCTCTTCGAGAGCGCCGTCGGCTTTGCCCTCTTTGAGGTCGTGCACCAGGCCGACAGCGTTGGTCTGCAGCTCCCCGAGGTGAAGGAGGCCATGACCAGCCTCGACAAGTTTGGCAAGATGGTCCAGTTGCGCAGCTTCAACCCATGGACGTGAGTTTATCGAGTTACCAGCACTCCGAGCGACGCGCGCTTGCGAAAACAAGTGTTTCTCCCCCCACTAACCACCAAGTCCAACAGCTCTGCCGCCCACGGTTTGGAGGCCATCAACCTCGTTTCCGAAGGCATCATGCCCGACCACCTCAAGAACACCCTCGAACTCAACCTCCCCCAGACCAGCGGAAAGAAGAGCAAGATTGTTTTGGGCGTCGTCGACAAGAGGTTAGCAGGCGAGATCACCTCTGTCTTCACCGGTGTCCAGTGCGAATCCGCCGAGACCTCCGAGGTCGTCGCTGCTCTCCTCCGTGGCATCCGTGTCCACGCTGGTAAGCTCCTCAAGGGCCTCCAGGAGGGCGATATCAACCGTGCCCAGCTCGGTCTCGGTCACGCCTACTCCCGCGCCAAGGTCAAGTTCAGCGTCCACAAGAACGACAACCACATCATCCAGGGCATTGCGACTCTCGACGCGCTCGACAAGGGTATCAACCAGGGCGCTATGCGTGTCAGAGAGTGGTATGGCTGGCATTTCCCCGAACTTATCCGCATTGTCTCCGACAACGGCACCTACGCCAAGATGGTCATCGCCGTTGGCAACAAGAAGACTCTCACTGACGAGAGCGTTGACGAGATCGCCAACGTTCTCAACCAGGACCAGGACAAGGCCGAGGCCGTTATCCAGGCCGCCAAGGTCTCCATGGGTCAGGACATCAGCGAGACTGATCTTGCCATGATCAAGGACCTCGCCTCCAACGTGGCCGAGATGGCCGACTACAGACGCATCCTCGCCGAGTCCCTCGACAAGAAGATGGGCGATGTTGCTCCTAACCTCCAGGTCATCCTCGGCACTCCCGTTGCTGCCCGCCTTATCTCCCACGCCGGTTCCTTGACCAACCTCGCCAAGTACCCCGCCTCTACCCTCCAGATTCTCGGTGCCGAGAAGGCTCTTTTCCGCGCTCTCAAGACCAAGGGCGCTACTCCCAAGTACGGTCTCCTTTACCAAAGTTCTTTCATTGGCAAGGCCGGTCCCAAGGTCAAGGGCCGCATCTCCCGTTATCTTGCCAACAAGTGCTCGATCGCTTCCCGTATCGATAACTTCAGCGAGAACCCAACCCGCCGTTTCGGTGAGGTGATGCGCGACCAGATCGAGCAGCGCCTCGAGTGGTACGCCAAGGGCACCAAGCCAATGAAGAACATTGATGCCATGGACAAGGCCATCAAGGCCGTTATGGACGACGATGAGGGAGGCATGGACATCGACTCTGAGCAGGTCGACCACATGGCTCCCAAGGAGGATAAGAAGGACAAGAAGGACAAGAAGGAGAAGAAAGACAAGAAAGAGAAGAAGGACAAGAAGAGGAAGAGCGTCGGTGCCGAGGACGTCGATATGGTTGACGCGGCGGAAGAGCCTTCCAAGAAGAAGAAGAAGAGAAAGTCTGTGGCTGCTGAGTAAGAAAATGTGCATTTTTTCTGCTTTGCATTGCTGTGCTGGACTGGTTGGCTGAGAACGGGGGGCTCTGAACATTGCTTGAAAGCGCGAGCCTCTCGTCTGGTTTGGCTGGTCATCTTCTGTCTTTTGATCATGTCCTTTTTTCCATTTCTCATTTTCTTGGAGTTCTATGGGTTTATTGGGGCAAAATGTTTGGCAACTGGAGTTTTCGGGGATACTCTCTCGTGTGTAGTAAAGCTTTTTTTGTAGACGCCATGCTCTCTTCCTGTGTTCCTTCTGATGTAACATACCCGTCGCAGACACACGCAACACACATGGTCATGGAGACGAAAACAAGAATGAGTTTTAATAAGTTTCAGAATTTTGACCCTCGTTCGCTAAATCCGATGTGATGTGGAACTGACGCATAATTATTGATCATGATCCCAAATCAGAATATTACTTCGCCGCAGTTTCCATTGCGCCCGTTCTCGATGCTAACAAACACTTAAAAAAGGTCTTGTAAAACGCCGCACGCCTGGCCTGCGGTTTCCACGCGTGTCCCATATCTGACCATATGCACAGCAACTCCCTCCCTCCCTCCACGGTCTACGCACCCTCACTCCCAAACTCCTTCGTCCACTCCTCGTTCCTCTCCAAGTCCACCTGCGACACCGTCGGCCTACTAGACTTGATAGCCCTCAAAAAGTCCTTCTTCTCCACAATGGGCTCCAACAGCTCCTCCCCTTCCACCCCCTCCCACGTCATCTCTACCGCCTCCGGATCCCCGGGCGAGCAGGGCGTCATCCTCTTCTTGCCGTCCACCATCACCTTCTTGAAGTGCGTCGCCTGCTGAATCTTTCTGACCGGCTGCATCAGCGCGTCTTGAACAACGATGCTGATGTCAGAACCCGAGTAACCCTCCGACGCCCTCGCCAGCTCTCTAAAATCTTCGGGTTTGAGCGCCGTCTTTGTGTCCCCAATGGCAATGCTAAACATTTTTGTCCTCGCGGCCAGATCTGGTAGACTGATGTGGACTCGTCTCTGGAAACGACGGCGGATAGCAGCGTCGAGTTGCCAAGGGATGTTGGTCGCGCCGAGGATGAGAACCCCCTTGCTGTCCTTGCCTACACCGTCCATCTGGACGAGCATCTCCGTTTTTATTCTCCGGGAGGCTTCCGACTCGCCTTCGCCGCGGGGCCCGCAGAGGGCGTCGATTTCGTCAATGAAGATGATGGATGGTTTGTTCTCGCGGGCCATGGCGAACAGTTGCTTGACTAACCTGTTATCGTCGTTCGTCAGCAAACTGCCTCCTCTTCTAGGGGTAAAAGATAGTAGAAAACATACCTCTCACTCTCACCCATCCACTTACTCACCAAATCAGAACTGCTAATACTAAAAAACGTACTCTTCGCCTCGGTAGCCACCGCCTTGGCCAAATAACTCTTTCCCGTCCCCGGCGGCCCATAGAGCAAAATCCCCTTCCAAGGCTGCCTCTTTCCCTGAAACAAATGAGGAAACTTGATCGGCAACAAAACCGCCTCCTTCAACGCCTCCTTCGCCTGCTCCAACCCAGCAACGTCATCCCAGCTGACATTAGGTCTCTCCTGCAAGATGGCGCCCGCCAGCGCCGACCTCAGCTTCTTGCTATCCTCATCTAGTTCAGGCGCACCATCCTCCCCCGCCTCCTTCCCTTTTGCCGTCCCGGCGGTGGAGGAGCCGTTCGCGCCGACGAGGCCGGGTTTTTTCTTCTTGGACTCGGCGTCGGCGAGGTGGGCTTTGAGCTTTTCGGCGCGGTCCATGTACTCGGCTGTTTTGGCGCGGATCATGTCTTTGGACTTTGGGTTCTTTTCCCACTTGAGGGCCAGCATGAAGAGCTCGAGGGAGGCGTAGTAGAGCTGGTAGGCTTTTTCATATTGGGCTGCGTTGTCGGCGTCGATGGCGGTGCGGACTTGTTTGATGGCGCGGTCGAGGAAGTCGGTGTTGGACATGGTGGGCGAGGGGCTACCGCCGAGGCGGGTTTGAGGTCGTTCGGGAGTAGGTTTGGTTTGTGAGGAGCGGGGTCGGGGGGAAGGGGAGATGTTGTTTTGGCCCGCCCGTGGGGGAGATGCGATGGTAGGCAGCGGGTAGTGGCAGATGAGCGCCGCTGTCGGCGGGAGGGTGGGAGATGGGATTGTAGAGATTGAGGATAGCAACTGTCTGGAGGAGGGCGCCGGGTTATTATGTTGCAGAAAGACAAATAGTTGGGACGCCAGATGTGGTGACCGAAGCGGTGCGGACGTGGTTGATGAGGGGTGTTTGGAGTTTGGTTTTAAGCAAGGCACGAAGTCGAGACCTCGTCAGTGGTGTCTTGGCACGTGGGCTGAAGAAGCTCGCAGCGTCCTGTTCATCCCACACTGGCTTCTGCAGGATTCAGTAGTTGGCACCTGTAAATTCAAGGGTCCGAAATGGAAAGAAAAGGCAGTCCCTATCAAATTCTCCCCGGGTTGCAGTAATGGTAAAGGCGAGCATTGGTCTTGTTAAAGGACAAGTTGATCCCTGCGGGGTCTGTGGTTGATGCTGCGGGGTGCTCCGTGTTAGTGTAAGCACACAAAAGGGCAGCAAGCACTAACAGCCTGCACATGTCATCTCCCATTTCCTTCGACAGAGCTCTGGGTTGCTTCTGATTGTGAACATACATACAAGAATATACCTCTACATTCATTTGATCTTTTCCTGCGACCCGTCATCGTTTCGAGTGCTGAGTAACTAGCAGGCAGCATTTTGCGGATTCTCATTTGCGCCAGCACCCCACTTTTCTCAACACTGCCCAACTCTCGTCATCACAGCGGCTGTTGAGGTGAAGATATCGGCTTGCTCACCTTATCCAATCCGTTCCCAGGGCCATTCCTGAGGTTATCCCGGACAAGAAATAGTCAACATGGCTGATATCCAACGTCGGCTTCAGGCCCTCTCTGAGGACTACGCCAAGCTACAAAAGGGTACCCCCCCATTCACCGTCATCTGCTCGTGCACAGCTTGCTAACATCTGTCTCTAGATCTCCAAGACACAGTAACGTCTCGGCAAAAGCTGGAGGCTCAGATGCAGGAGAATTTGGGCGTACAACAGGTTCGTGTCCCACCATGAAGATCGGCCGGGATGACATTGACAACAGAACAGGAATTCGAGAAGCTCAAAGACGGCGAGACCATCTACAAGCTCATCGGGCCAGTGCTCTTGAAGCAGGACAGGACAGATGCGGAGAGCACGGTGAAGGGGCGGTTGGAGTTTATTGAAAAGGAAATGTAAGTTATATCTCTGCCATGTTGGTGGCTATCTGGAGACTGACTTGGGATACAGCACGAGACTGGAAGGCCACATCAAGGAGACGCAGGCCAAGATGGAGAAGAAGAAGACCGAGATCATTCAGGTTCAAACCAGTGCTCAGGCTGCCGTTGGTGCTGGCCCTCAGGCTGTCAAGGGGCGCGCTTAAACTTGTGAGAATAAAATTACCGCGTTTCTTGCAATAGTTGTTTTCAGTTGTATATGACCACAGTGCAATTTTGACGAGTATAAGTGAGTTGCGAGATATCATTATTCATTACCCTTATTACCGCATAATCACAAATCTATCAGTCTAACTGTTCATGTATCTAAGACGGTCCAGCCATTTTCCCCAAAGCAACCCGATCTATCCAAACCCAGAATGGAGATTTGTTAATGTTACAGTCCACCAAAAGATATTACAAAAGACATAATCCTCCCCTTCCTTCACACCCTCCCGGTCATGATCTCTAGTTCAAAGCCATAATGGTAAACCCCCACGGCAAGCCCATATTCCCATACGGCCTGCTCCCCATCTCCCAGTCAACCTTCTCATTCGTCACCACCTGCTCAATCTCAACCTCATTCACCGCCTCTTCTTTTTCTTGCTCGTCAATAACCCCCACAATGAACTCCACCACCGCCTCGACGGTATAACACTCCCCCAACAAACCCCCTTCCTCGATCCTTTCCAGCACACTTCTCTTTTGCTTGCTCTGCTCAAACAACCTCAGCTCTCTATCCACCACGCCAGCAGTGATGTCCCCATGTTTGCAGAGGTGCTCGAAGATGAGGACTAGCCCGGTGACGGCCTGGATATAAAGAATGGTTTTGGCCTGGTCGTCAAGGCCGGAGAGGAGGGCGCCTGTTGTGTCGAAGAGGATGGGGAGGGTTTCCTCTGGGAGGATGGCGGACAAAAGCTGAGGGAGGGAGGGGGTGATCGGACAGGAGTAGATTTTGGTGAGGGTGGTCACCGCGGTGGCGAGGAGGGTGGGGTGGTATTGGGGGAGGGAGAGGTGGGTGTGCGTTAGGGTCAAGGGGGAGAGGGTTGTGAGGAGGGCTTCTATGGGGGAGGTTAGTAAGCCTGGGTGTTGATGGATACGGGGAGAAGGGGGCACTAACGGTGGAGTTTGGAGGTTGATGGGCTTGATGGCCGTTGGTGGGGGAGTGAAATCGCCATGGTGATGGTGGTATATGTAGTACTGAAGGAATAGTTTGTGTGAAGTATCTCGATGGTACTCTGGGAGTAGGTATGATGGAGTAGCTTGATGATTGTTTACTTATCAGGTAGATATTGTGAGATGGACGCCTTTATATAAACAAAAAAAAGTTCAAGATCAACATCTACGAAACAAACAGTGGCAACATCAACCCTTTAATACCTACATGGCACTACCCAACACCTCATACAAAACCAAGCGGACAGGCCCGGCATGGGCTGTCATATTACCAAAGATAGGAAAAACAATTCTCTTGGCTCCCTGTAACGGGCCGGGTCTCTCTCACCACGGGGCGAGATGAGGCACCAACTCAACGCTTCTTTTTTTTTTTTTGTGGCAAGGCGCAGTTGGTGGCACTTCCGCCCCTTCAGACGACCAGGAGGGTGGTTGGTAGCGACGTGTAACCCGTCCTCGCTATATCACCGCCCTAATTTCCGACCCGACATATTCCGATTACGTTTTTGCGTGGTGTTCAATATCAGAATTTGTCAATGCCATCGACAATGGTTGATGGATGGATGTTTGGCCTTGATTGAAGATGCTCGGCATTCGGCCCTATCCGCCCGAACTGTGACCAAGAGATATCGGCCGTGTTCTTGGCAAAAAGTTCTGGCATCGCGATCAGCTGCAGTTGGATTCAGGTCTGTGTGTAATTTTGTTGACTGGTTTTTCTGATGAAATCCAGGGTATTTTCCGTTATTTTCCGAAGTTTGATAAAACCTCAACAAGCGGTCAGAAGAAAATATCTCACCAAACTCGGTCTCGCCAAAAAGATGCCATTCTCTTGACACCGTCGAATTTTTGTAGCTTCGCCTTGTCCAACGCTCAGCTCAAGTGCCAAGCCATATCCGTGCGTTGCGCATCGGTCTGATCCACTAGAGTCTCACGTGATACTCTCACGTGTAACCTCCGCCTCACTGGGGGCCCGTGCATGGCTTGGCTTACTTGGCTGATCTTTGCCCCGCCAGGCGGCCCATGGCAAGGATGGTGGGGTGTCGCGTTCTCTTGTTCGAGATACATCCAACCAAACAGGTCAACTGCAGCTGTTCTACCAAATCACAATGGCTTCAACGCCAAACATGGACAGCGACCGGCCATTATCGGTTAGGGAGCTCACAGACCTGGGTTTGCAATATGACTTCCTGCCCCAGCTCCCCCTCAACCGGTGGTACCGGGCGGCTGAAGTTGTCTACCGGGAGGTCAGTCGAGAATCCCATCATGGCGTTCTTCCAGTACTGACATGTGCTCTGTCCAGGCTACCCACTACCTCCGCGATGGGAATACTCCCCAGGCCTTCATGATGTTCCAACGATACTGCGATCTCGTCATGTATAAGCTCAGAACACATCCCGACATCAACCTTCCCGAATCCCGGCCTCAATACAAGACCCTGTCCAAACGTATCCCTGCCATCATAGAGCTGATGGAATCGATGCGGGTTGAGATTGATGAATACTACAGCAGATGGGAGGCACGAATGAGGGCTCAACGCCGTTCACAACCTCCGGCAAAGAGCACAATCAGACTGGTGGATCCAGCCCTGTCTTGGAACCACGCTTCGCCGGGGAGCATATTAGATGCCAGGTCCAATAAGGATCTCGCCATCGAAATGGCCAACAAGGAAAGACTCCGGAGGAGAAATGCGACTAAGATGGCGCCCTCTCGGTCGTCTCGAATAATTTCAGAAGATGAGCTGCAGCGCAGGAATATGGAGGCAGTTCGAAATCAGTTGGACCGATCGTATAGGACATCAGACACCAATGACCGCTTACAGTCGACCAACTATTCTTACCCTTCGATCAAGCAGTCGGCTCCTCTTTCGTACGAATCCGCTCCTCGACGCCCGAGTCCCCCCCCTGCTCGGCCCATGCCACCACGACCTCCCAAGCAACTGCCCGAGCCATCCCGTCCTCCCTCCGTTTCACCCCCTTCACGGCCCAGGAAGGAACTGGACACTGAAGCATTTGTCACAACGAGGTCACAATCTCCTGTTAGACCGCCTAAAGAAGCCCTCGAGCCCGCACCTGAGCCCAAGAGAAGGTACACATTTAAACCTGAAAAGTATTTAGAGAACGGTGACCCGATCCGTTCAATCTTTTTGCCGGAGTCGCTTCGGAGACGGTTCCTCGCTATTGCCGAGCCAAATACCAGAAGAGGGCTCGAAATGTGCGGCCTCCTCTGCGGCGCCAACATCAACAATGCCCTTTTTATCACACACCTTGTGATACCCGATCAGGATTGTACCGAGAACACTTGTGATACCAGAAACGAAGCCGACATTTGGGAGTTTTGTGACAAGGAGGAGTTGATACAGATTGGTTGGATCCACACGCACCCGACGCAAACATGCTTCCTCAGCTCCCGCGACATGCATACGCAGGCTAGTTACCAAGCTATGTTGTCTGAGAGTATTGCCATCGTTTGCGCCCCACGATACGAACCTTCCTGGGGAGTCTTTCGGTTGACCAACCCACCGGGCCTACCGGAGATGCTGAAGTGCCGAAAGACGGATCCATTTCATCCGCACGATGTCCCGGGCGATCAACTTTACGTGAACGCCCTTCAGCCTGCCGGGCATGTCATCGAAGCGGACCTCAATGTCGACGTTTGCGATCTTCGGGGAAAGACATAGAACGGCTGGAGGGGCGACGAAGATGATGACGATGATGACGGGACTTTGACCGTCAGAGGTGATGCTCCCGACGATGATGACAATACCACCATCACGTCTGGATCGTATTCATGCGGTATTGGTAACATCCGGTCACGCTGGGTGGTTTTGGTCATGGCAATAGTCCCGATTATTTCGATATGCTACAGACGCTTTTTCCGACAGCACTAGCGAGGGCGTTTAGGGTTGAAATTTGGCTTTGGGGGATAGGGGCATCAATGGTGATTACGAAGCGATGATATGAGTTTCCAGACGAGTTTACAGCATTAGAGAGCTAGATAGGGGCGACTCGAGCGAGTGTAATAAAGCATCTGCATTTATTACCTTTTGATTATCTTTTCCAATGCTGGATTCGATCAGGGGTCAGGGCATCCAGGAAATGTGGGCCTGCTCGGGTCGGAACCAACCCGCGAAGTCTCGGGTGCCTTCCGAATGCCTGGTTCATCGGCATCGTCAACATCCAGCGTTGCGGACTTTCGGGCTATACGACTGAGAGGTGTGTCTTCAGGCGTGTTGACTTTTAATGTGGTTTCTAATTGGAGTAAACCGAATTGCAGAATCTCAACTTGCACACAGAGCAGAAAGAAATCTTGGCATTACACACCAGCACCAGCACCGAAGCTACCTACCTTGATTAGACTGCCAACCCGGGATGGATCCCGAACACCGCAACGAGCGGCAGCAGAAGCGCCGAAAGATCTCCCTGGCGTGCGAGCCATGCCGGGAGAGAAAGTCTCGTTGCGACGGAGCCAAGCCGATCTGCTCCACCTGCCAGCGGCGGTCGCTGCCGCTGCATCAGTGTATCTACACGGTTGAGAATGCCAGGACAGCGAGCAATGAGGCGTGAGTTTTTCTGGTGTCCTTTGTACCTTTCCTTCAAGCGTTCACCCCATGTTGACCATCTCCTCAGGTACATCCGGGTTCTGCACGAACGCATCCAACGGCTTGAGCGGGCGTGTTCCGAGAATGGGATCCCCACTCCCCCACTTGATCCGAGCGAGGAGCCGGCTCCGGACCCGGGGGCCAGGCCGGGGAGGAGATCCGTCTCGGTCCAACCCGGGCAGGGTAATGGGCTTCTTACTCCTGCGATCAAAGACCACGTCCAATGCACCACTGCTACTCCCCTGCCTGTCCCGCATCGCCAGATCCTCGACCCACGCTCTCCCGACTGTGAAGGGCTGGACTCCCTAGAGAACGCCACGAAAATAACAGCAATGGGAACGGTAAGCGCCGAACACGACGTCAACCAAGCCTTTGAGGAGACGCAAGACGAGTTCTACGGCAGCTCGAGCGCGGCCAGTTTCATGAAGGAGGCTTACGGGAATGTCAAGCCTCATCATCACCGGGTGTCCTCGTCGTTGCCGGGAGCCGGATCGGTGGTCACAACAACGGCAGCGGGCAACCTCCGACAAACCTTTGCGGCACCAAAAGCGGATTTTGGCCCCCTGAATTTCCTGCAGCCGGATCGGTTCGCCTTACCGCCGAGGAATGTGGCTGATTACCTCGTGGGGAGGTTCTTCGACCGGGTTTATTGGCTGTATCCCTTCTTTCACAAGCCAACCTTTATGTACGCCTACCGCCAGCTCTGGCAGCCGGTTACGGGGAAGGAAAAAGGGGTGCCGGAGCCTGGGTTGGGGTTGGGGAGTGAACCTGGGGCTGGGGCGGGGAGTATCGTTTTTCATTCTGCGCTCAATACTATCTTTGCGATAGGGTGTCAGTTTAGTGATTTGTCGGCCAAGGACAGGGTCAGCGCGATAGAGACTTTTTTGGAGAGGGCGAAGAAGTTTGTGGGGTTGGATTTGATTGATATGCATAATGTGGGTGTGGTGCAGAGTTTGTTGCTTATGACTCTGCTGCTGCAGAGTACCCCTTTTCCGAGCAGGTGCTGGAATTCGCTGGGGGTCGCGGGGAGGGTGGCGCAGGGGTTGGGGTTGCATACGGAGGCGGGGAGGAGGGGGAGGTCGGAGTTGGAGAGGGAGGTGAGGAGGAGGACGTGGCATGGGTGTGTTATTTTGGATATGTGAGTGCTCTTTTGGGTGATTGGGAAGGGTTGAAGCTGATGCAGGAGCAGTATCGTGAGCATGACGTTTGGGAGGCCGACGATGACGGATGTGAATGATCTGCCGCTGCCGTCAAGGTTGGAGCTGGTGGATGATGAGTGGCCTGGTACACTTGCTCAGATTGACGATGAAGTGACCACGACATCGAGGATGAACTTCTTTCTTGACCACATTCGGCAATGTCATATCCTGGGTGAGATATTGTCGAGTATCTATCTGTCACCCAAAGGCCGAGGAGCACCAAGTTCTTCGTCAGGGACCACCGGTGATGAGTCTCCGCTGTATGGGTTGGATGCCATTCTGGAGCTGGATGCCAAGTTGTCGAGACATGAGGCCGCAGTTTGCCCCGCCATGTCTTGGACAGCACCCAGTGATATTAGCGGGATGCCAGAAGACAAGAAGAAGATTATTGTCACGCAGAGAAATGTGCTTCATGCCAGGTGAGTAGCCCTGAGTCGATGGCCCTGCCGTCTGAGCTGACCAAATAAACAGCTTTCTTTATGTACGGCTGATGCTTCATCGACCGATTCTCACCCAACTTTGCTCAAATTCAGATTCTGGAACAACAGAGCCAACCTCACCGGTGAAGCAAGGACCCTTTGGTGGAAATAGAATGCTGTATGCTTCCTTTGCAGCAGAATGTGCAAAGATTTGCTTGGGATCAGCCATGGACTTGGTCGAGCTGGTCTCCAGGACTTATCAGACAGACACAACTGGAGGTTGGTGGTGGGATGGATTGTGTATGCTGAGTTTCACCGCTTCCCGTTACTGGTTCCTCTGCTGACCGTTCCTCCGCAGATGCATTCACTGGTGGCCTTGCAGTTATTGTCGCTTATCTAAGTCCATCCCTCCTTGATTCTATGGATCAACGCCGGCTGGAAAGATCATGGGTTCTTTGCCAGGAAATCCTGGCACACTTTGCTTCGTTCAGTATCTCTGCTCACAGGTCTCTGAAACTGCTGCAAAAGGTGCATGGTGATGTCATGGCACGCGTTGCTGGTATGTTTCAAGATGCTTTCGTGAATATTGCGGGGTTTTCACTGACATGAACACCAGAGCAAGCCGGTGACACCGACAGGCCAGTCCTTCCAACCCCGATTGCCACTGCCGCCACCCCAGCTGGCCAGGGTATCGTGTTGCCCAGGGAAGATGGCTTCAACTCAGCCCAAGCACATCATACTTCTCTGGATTTTGGAAACGGTCTCCAATGGGAAGTTCCCAGTAATGCGGACCTGAGCATGCTGAACGTGACCTCGCTCTTCAATTGGGACCAGCCTTTAGACTTCTTTACAGGTGGGTTAGGGACAGATAACTTTCAGTTGTAGATGTTCGCGGAACTGTGTTCATACAGACAATAAATAGTAAACATTACAGCCTCCTATGGCAACACCAAGTCTTCTCGCCTCTATCACACCTATTTAAACCCCCACAACCCCCTAACCCAACTCCTCATCCTCTTGGTCGCATCCCCATCATGCTGATTCTCACCCTCCAGCAGAATCCAATCATGCGCCTCACTCTTCATCAGCTCAACCTTGACATCCAGTTTGTTGTTCACCTTCTTGAACACGTCCGCCAACTGCACGCTTTGATCCAAGAAAACCTCCTGTTCCCCTGCCGTGATGTACACCTCCGAAACAACCTTGTCCAACCCCTTGAACCACGCCTCCTGCCTCTCCCGCGGTAGATCAATAGGCATAACCCACGCCCTGTCCTCGTCTGTCAAGTTTTCGGGTAGCAAATGCCCACAGGCGGAGTCAATGGTGGGGGTAGACAGCATGTCAATCCCGTTGTTCTTTTTGTAACTAGCCGTGTCGGTCCTAGTCGACACCCAAGGCGACACCAAAAACGCGCCGGCGATAGGTCGAGAAAGGGAGACGGCCACCGCGTCTGGGTGGGGGTGCAGAAGGTGGGAGAGGAGTGAGCAAGTTAGGTTTCCACCAGCGGAGTCACCACCGAAGATGATATTTTCTGGCTTGACCCCCGCTTTGAGGATATGATCCAACCCTGCCGCGGCTTGCTTCAGCTGCGTCGGATATTTACCATGAGGGACAAGGGTGTACTGCAGTATCGCCACGGCGACGTCGCCGGGGGAGGCGAGGAGGTAAGCGCGGTGACACCAGTTGATGTGGCCTGGTAACATGGGGATGGCGTACCCCCCTCCGTGGAAGAAAAGGACGACCTTTTTGGCTTTGGTGCGGTGGCCTAGCCAGAGGAGCGAGGATTGCCCGTCGTGAAGGGATTCAATGTCGACTTTGAGCTCGGATAACACTAGGTCCTCTGGTTTGGGGGTGTCATTGGAGGTGGAGAGCCGCTTGATGGCGGCGATGGACTGCTTTCTAACCCATGATTTGTAATAGGCGACGGTGGGGGGTTTCATAAACTGGAGTTGGAGGGGGGTGAGGTGGCGGAGGCCGAATTTGTTGAAGGCGCAGAGGGTGTAGTATTTGAGGGAGGCGCCGCGGAGGTGGGCGAGGAGGTGGCAGCGGAGGTTGTTGATTAGGAGGGTTGGAGGGGCTGGGAGGGTGTTAGAGTGGGAAGAAAGGTGTTTTTAAAAACAAGGGGAAAACATACCGACGACGAGAAGTTTGAAGAGAAGGGAAAGTTTCCCTAGAAAGGAGAGGGTGAGCGGTTTGGATGATGCGGGCGCCTGCAGAGGAATTATGTCAGCAACGGAAAAGGGGGGTTTGTTGACATCGTGAGAAAATTTGATGGTGTTGAGGCCCACTTACCATTGTGAAAATATGGTTCTACCAGAAAAGCATAACAAAGGGTAGCGTAACAGCTGATTCTGGTGGTACAAGAAAATGAAATATGAAATCGGGTTCTGGCGGCCTCTCAACGATATTTCCCCATGGCAAGGCCTCTCTGCATTCCATCCATTCCCCATCTGGACATCTTCATGTGCATGTTCACAGGGGTTGTCCTCGGCCCACTTTGCGGGGTTGGGTACCGCCAAGAATGTGGGGAGCATGTTTTGCTGGCAGTTGGGGAACGACCAGGGGCATCCCCTGTCGTGGAGGGGTCGATAGGATGAGGGGCGCAGGAGGGGAGAGCGGAGGGGTAGTAAGGCACAGGTGAGGGTCAGCAGTAGCGGTGTGTGGTGTGTGTGACTGTGACACGGTGGGCGAGTTCACCTTTTTCCTCTCCTTGACACAACTTTTGTACAGTTTGAGAATTCTGCCAGCATTACTCCGTATCATTATCATTACTATTATTGGATAAAACAACATGGCTAGCCGTAGAGAAAACAAGGGCTTCCACCTCGACAGCCTCGCCCGAGTCGTCCGGTACACTGCCCTTAACGAGTTTCTTGCCCTTCCCATTGCCGGCGCCGCCCACTTCCTCACGCTCGACTCCTCGGTCAAGTATCTGACCGCTCTCTTCACTCACGCCAACCGTCTCGGTGTCAAGCTCAACCCTCGCGACCTCAACCTTCCAAAGATCGCACGCACTGCCCTGACCCTTGGTCTTGTTGGCGCCGCCTACTCTGCCAACGAGTTCCTCACAAAATGGACCGCCAACAACTGGACGCGCAACAAGCCCGGGGAGTGGAAGACCCTCGACAAGGAGATTGTTCTCATCACTGGGGCCAGCAGCGGCATTGGCGAACACACAGCTAAGATGCTGCTGGCCTGGCACAAGGGTGTCAAGATTGTCATCGTTGACTTTGCTCCCATGTCCTGGGAACCATCTGCCGCCGATGCCTCTCGGGTCTTTTACTTCCAAGCCGATCTCAGCAAACCCGAGGTTGTGCGCTCTGTTTCGAAGCGCATCAAGAAGAAGGTTGGCCATCCAACTGTCCTGATCAACAACGCCGGTCTTGCCCGCGGGTTCAGCGTTTTGGAAGGATCCTACGCCGACGTCGAAGTCACCATCAAGACCAACCTTCAAGCTCCGTTCCTGCTCATCAAGGAGTTCGTCCCGCACATGGCCAAGACGAACCACGGTCATATCGTTACCATCTGCTCCATGAGCGCTGTTGTTCCCACGCCGGGCATCGTCGATTACTCTGCCACTAAGGCTGGCGTTCAAGCGTTACATGAGGGCCTGGCGCTAGAACTGAAGCATAGACACAAGGCGGACAAGGTCAGATTGACCAACATTATTCCCAACTTCATCCGTACACCATTGCTGTCAGGAGTGCCCCGTCAGTCGCAATTTGGAGCGCCATTGCTTCACGTTGAGACGGTGGCCGAGACTATTGTCAGACAGATTGAGAGCGGATATGGAGGTGTTGTGTATTTACCGGGAATCATGAGATACATCACTTGTTTGGTAAGATTCTTTTCATTCGCATATGGAGTGACACAATAACTGACACTATCACAGAGGGCGCTTCCTGAGTGGGTGTACACATATCTCATCCGAAATGGCACAGTCAACCTCGCGGTTGGATTCCAGGGGCGACAGATCATTGACGAGAACGGAGGCTTGAGGGCCGTCAAGGTTCAGAAGGCCGAAATCGCTGAGAAGTCTGACCGATCTGAAGCACCTGAGGTGCCCGAGAAGCCCGAGAAATCCGAGGCAGCTGAGAGACCTGAGAAGGCCGAAAGACCTGAACGCCCCGAGAGAGCCGAGAGGAGCGAGGCAGGCGAGAGACCTGAGAGAGCTGAGAGGGCTGAGAGGTCTGAAAGGTCTGAAAGGTCTGAGAGGGCTGAGAGGGCTGAGAGATCCGGCAGATCGAACAGAGCCGAGAGAAGAGCAAGGAACGAGAGGTCTGAAAGATCAAGCTGAGTGAGCTGATCAAGACAAAAAAAGAATAAAGAGCGAAATGAAATAAACGAAAACTGATGATAGAATTTCACTGAAGTTACTAGATATGATACAAGAATGATACCTACCACCACATTCATCACCCACTGCCGTTTGCCTCCAAAGTACAACTGTCGCGTGCCGTCTCGGGGTTGCGGGGATCAGTGTGCCCCGTGGGCATCCTTGTCTCATCTCCAGATCTGCATTCTTGGCACACCCCAATCTCTGTCTTGGCGGCTTAATTGTTGGGGGACCGAGGCATCGGGAGGATCCCGCTAGCTTGTTTTGTTGCCCCCTTGCAGATATTGGTGCTAGCATCTGCGACGTCAAGAGTTGGGTATCGTCAGATGTCTGGACTAGTGTATAGATTTTGCGGCTTATGATGCCCCCTCACTGCTCACTGTGCTCCAGGTTCTCACCTCGAGGCTCTCTTGACATGTTCCCACCGCCATAGCATATCACGATGTCTTCAGACAAAGAAACCGAAGTCCCCTTCACCCAGTTCGCCTGTATCGGCACAGGCTTCTCAGGCATAGCTCTCGGGGCTACCATCCAACGATGGTACAGCATCTCGCCCTCATCCATCCAATTCTTTGACTCCCAACCGTGTGTTGGTGGGACATGGTCCATCAACCAATACCCAGGCGCAGCCTGTGACGTCCCCTCAGCTCTCTACTCCTTCAGCTTTGAGCGCAACCCAAACTGGACCAGATTCCTCCCTCCCCACGATGAACTCCGCGCCTATCTCACCAAAGTCGCCGAGAAATACAACCTCGTCCCGCGCATGAAGTTCAACACCAAAGTCACCAAAGCAGAATGGATCCCCTCCCCTACCAACCCCCGATGGCGGCTGACGATCCTCGACCTCGAAACCAACCTCACTTCCCACCACGAATGCCAGTTCTTGTTCTCCGGCTCAGGCCAATTCAACTCCCCCCGCCCCTTGGACGTCCCCGGACTCGACTCCTTCCAAGGTCCGGTAATCCACTCCGCCCGCTGGGACCACTCCGTCTCCCTCCACGACAAAAAGGTGGTAGTCTTTGGAAACGGCTGCACCGCCGCCCAAATCGTCCCCTCCATCCTCTCCTCCACAGCCCACCTCACCCAAATCGTCCGCTCCAAACACTGGATCTACCCCCCCGTCGACGCCAAAGTCTCCCCCTTTGCCAAAAAGCTTCTGGCAAGCATGCCCGGCGCCACGCTCCTTCAACGCTTCATAGTCTACCACCTCGCCGAGGCCGACTGGGCCGGCTTCACCCTCACCCCCTCGGCGGCCTCCTTCCGGTCCAGACGCAGGAAGATGGCGGAAAAGTACATGAAAACCACCGCTCCGGAGAAATACCACCCCCTCCTCGTCCCCGAGTTCGAAATCGGGTGCAAGAGACGCGTCTTTGACTCCGGCTACCTGGAATGTCTCCACTCGGAAAAGATAACCCTCACCAACGACAAGGCAGTCGAGATCTTACCTCACGGGGTGAAAATGGCTGATGGACGGGTGGTGGAGGCGGATGTGCTGGTCTTGGCTAATGGCTTTGAGACGAACACACCCACGACACTCTTGCCGGTTGTTGGTACGGGGGGCCATACCCTCCAGGAGCATTGGAGTGAGACATTTCCTGGTCCGGAGGCGTACAATTGCACTTCGTTGCATGGGTTTCCCAACTTCTTTTTGCTGTGGGGGCCGAACACGGCTACGGGGCATACTTCGGCTGTGATGGCGATTGAGAACGGGGTTAACTTCGCGTTGAGGGTTATCAAGCCTTGTTTGGAGGGGAGGGCGTCGGTTGTTGATGTGACGGAGCAGGCGGAGAGGGAGTTTGTTGAGCGGGTTCAGGAGGCGTTGGGGAAGACGGTGTTTACGAGTGAGACTTGCAATAGTTGGTATACAGCTCGAGACAGGGAGACGGGGAGGGTGTGGAATGGGATGACGTATCCGTGGAGTCAGGCAAGGTATTGGTGGGATTGTATGATGATCAAGAAGGGGGATTGGGTTTATAGTGTGAGTTTCCATGAGGTGGCTCCTTTAGGTGACAATGGCTAACATGTGAATAGGGACCCGCGACTGGCAAGTCGAGTATCGTCAAGAGGAGGAGGCCCGGATTGTGGTTCACCGCTTTCGCCGTGATGGCCTCGGGTGGGCTGCTTGCATGGGTTGGAAAGAACCCGAATTCTCGTTTGGCGCTGGCATTGGCTGGGTCAAGGTTTGCTGCTGTCGTGCCTGTTCTGAGGACATGGGGATTGGGTGTGATCGGACGAAAGGGGCTGAACTGATCGTGCAAACCATATTATTTACGCACATAGCTGTATGTACAATATTACATATCAATCATGATCCACCGTCCGTCGGCCATGTATCGAATCACCGTTACTCATGTACATATTTTACAACCTCGAAGGCACTTTCTCAACAACCAGCTCGTCCTTGATGTCCTCACAAATACCCCTCGCAACCCAATCAGCAAGAGCCATTGTCGTGACCATAGGATTGACACCGCTGGCCGTAGGGAAGACACTGGCATCGGCCACATACAGCCCCTCGGTATCCCACACTCTACCACGAGGGTCAACGACACCGTCCTTTGCCTTGGCGCTCATGCGGCAGGTACCCATCTGATGAGCCGAGACAAACGGCGCAACAGGTGGCTTGTTGCCATGCTTCTTCAGTTTCCTGAGCCACTTCTTGAACGCCTTGTCCGTCTTCTTTGGGTCGCCTTGAGACCGAACAAATGGCTGGAAGCCAGGCAGACAAGGGTGGATTTCTCTCGCCCCAGTCGCATGCAGAATTTTGCAGAGCTCGAGAACACCGACAAAGTTGTGGGCGCGGTCGAAATCGGACGGCGTGTACGAGATACGAGGGTCGCCGGTATAGGGGTCTCTGTAAATGTATCCAGTGTCCCTGTCACGGATGATGGAGATGTACTGGTTGATGTGGCGGTACTTGGCCGCCATCAGCTTGTAGTCGCTTCCAGAGCGCCATGTGAGGAAGGGAAGTGCCAAGCTGGGCATCATCGACATGGCCTCCAGTTTGGCGCCGTGACCCTTGCCGTCCAGGTCCTCGAAATCGCCAACCACCGTCGTGAGACTGCCGCCTGGATGCTGTTAGCTTTGATCATGCACTGAAACTGATAGGGGACACACACCCTCCCAAGGACGAATGTCCTCATCGAAAGCACCAGCAACAAAGTTGACAGGATGCAAATACAGGTTCTTGCCAACCTGGGGGTTCTTGATCCCACTGTTCATCAGAACCACCGGACTCCACAGCGTGCCAGCGCTGACAACCACCTTCTTGGCCTTGACGACAACCTTGATCGGCTCTCCGCCTTCCTTGGGGGTCCAAACGCCCGCAACACCACAGGCCACCTTCTTGCTCTTCTTTTTCTCATCAAAAAGGACTCTTTCAGCCCTGAACCCTTCCATAAACTCTACAGCCCCCTTCTCAGCAGCCTCTGGGAACCATCCATTCACAGGTCCCATCTTCTCACCATTGGCGCATCCCAAAGTGCAATAACCACAGTTGTGCGGTTGACCGCGCGTATTTTGCGGCACAATCTTGCACCTTTTACACCCCGTCTGCCTCCCACCATTCAACAGCACCTGATTTCCATGGTTCGGCGTAATCTTGTCCGTAACCCCCATCTTCTCCCAAACATGATTCAAACACTCCTGGAACTCCCTCCCGTCAAAAAAAGGCATCTTGTACGTCTCGGCCCAGTCCTTCCTGACAAAATCCTGCGGCTGCAACGACGCGCTCCAGTTCACCGTCCCACCACCCCCAAAACAGCTCCCCGCCGTAACAGTAATCGACCCATCATCCGACTCAACCACCCCCCCGGCCTCAAACATAGCCGACAGCCCCACCGTCTGCGACATGGGAAAATACGACGCGTCGAAATGCCCCCCCTTTTCCAAAACCAAAACCTTGACCCCTTTGCCAAACGTATTCGCCAACCTGTTCGTCACCACCCCTGACCCGCACCCCGATCCAATAATCACCACGTCCGTCTCAACCTCCGCCGTTGGCCTGATAAACTCAAACGGAAACGAAGAAGTAGCAACCCACTCCTTCGGCACAGAAGGGAACCCCGTCAACGGCGCAAATGTATTACTACTCCTCAAAAACCCCAGCTTGCCCAGCGTAGTCATCGACTTGAACAACCCCCTGACAGCCCAAAGCCTGCTCTCCCTCCAACCCTCCAAAACCCTGGTTCTATCCTCCAGCCCAAGTTGGGGCAGTGGCGTGCCGTACGATGTGAGGATTAAGGATCCTGGTCTGGTGGACAAGACACTCAAGAGAATCTTCAGCTCCCTCTTTTTGGACGGGGGCAGGCCGCTGAGGACGAGTTTCATGATCTTTTCAAACATGGGGTTGTCGCTGGGGCGTTCGCGGAGGTAGGACTCGATTGTCTCGGCGGTGACCTCGTGGGGGGAGACTGCTGCGCGGATTTTGGAGGCGGCGGCGGCGTATTCTTGTTGGGAGAGCCTCAGGACTGACTTGTCATCGGGGGTGTTGTTGTCGGAAGAGGCGATAGACTTTGGGGGCAGGATCGCGGGCGCGATGGTGTCCATTAGGGCCATGAAGACGGCCCATTGTGATTCGGAAAGGAAGTCGATTGAGTCGGGGAGGGGGATTTCTTTTGGTGATGATGATGATGATGGTGATAATGATGATGGTGGTGGTGGTGCTGCCATGGTTGCGGTGGTGGTTTGTGATTGGCGGCAGGCTTATTGAAGATGGTGAGGCGCGTTTGTCTCACTCGGGCTGCAGCCAAGTGTGTCGCGAGGAGGGTGGTGTTGTGGTATGTACAATGACAGGCGGGAACAAAATAGGCAGTGGTGGTCGCTATAACTCCCCGCATACCCCAACTTTTGTGGGCTGTTCTTTGTGTCCTTGAAACACAAGTTGGGTCGGTCCTGTGCTAGGAAGAAGTTGGGGTTGGTTGGGATTTGAGGCTGTCGATCGTCTGATTTGCTCTGATGATGCCGATGCGGGGCTGCTGTTGTTGTTGGTGGAGAAGCTACCCCGGCTTGGCCCCACTGATGTAGGATTGTGATTGGGTGCAAGTATCTGGGGAAAGGCTAGCGTAGGATCGTGCCAGGATGATGGTCTTTGTGTGAGGAGGAGAGATGTCGGAATTGTTCCGATGGAGGGATCGTGAAGCATGTGGTTGAGCATGTGGTTGTGCAGAACGCACTAGCCTGAAGGAATTCCCTCCAGGCACGATGTTATGGTAGGTAGCTACGCCCAGAAAGCAAGCAAAGAGTGGAGTATAGGAGCAATGATTCAACAAACAAAACCATGGAGAATCAAAAGGAGTTCTTAGGTAGGGATCTAGCTGATGTAGCAGGGTATCGAAAGGGATGTTGGCGACCAGATTTCAACCCAGTTGACAGTCTCTCATGTGAAGATACACCCCTTGCCTTGGCCCCGTGGCCAAGGACGTCCTTTTGGTACGACACCTCAGATGTATCTCAAAAGATACATAACAGATCGGTCGCCGCTGAGTACAGGCACTACTCACCAGTTCTCGTAGGGTTTGATTTGGCAGTCATGCTACGTCGAAAGAATAGCAATCTGAGTCCTATGTAATCGTCCTGCCACATGTATATAACTGAAGTAGTGTAAACACCAGGACTGATGAGGCTCAGGCAGAACAAGAGCCTCTCACACTTGCGAAGATGGACTAGGTAGTAAAAGGCGACTGGAGTTGTTGAAACATTCGTAGGTTTCTTTGCTTTGAAGGCGTTGGCATCATCTTTCAGTGTCTCATAATTAGCAATTCACCATTACTGCAGGTGTTTGTTTCCCGCTCTTTCCCCGTTTGACCAAACCACAAACTGCCATCTCTCACCACCAAGAGAGTACCGGGCTGCAACCACAGTGCCAGCTACGTAATCGAGCAGGTACTCTCACAGTGTTGACCTTGCTGGCGAGAAAGTGGAAGCTTGAAAAAGGTGGAGGTTGTCCCTGCACTCGAGCGACTCACCTTCCATTTCACTGCCTGCAGCTTTACTTTTGCCCTCGCCACTTTTTACTCTTCTGCTCTCTCTCTCTTGTCAACACCTCCAACTAGCAACCCAACGCTTGCCGCGTTGACTTCAGACCACAAGACACAAGCTTCTCAAGGACGGTGAAGAAACTCCTTTCGTCACGTAAGTAAAATTATTATTGTCAAGTAACGTCCAGTTTGTCGATTTGAAGTATGAGCTGACCTCAAGAAATCGTACAGAAGTACGCACTGCTCCCACAATGTCTTTCATCAAAGAGGAGAATGGTTCCACTGAGAAGGGAACTCGAGAACTTCTCTCAACTATCAATTTCACTGTGATTCTTGATCAGCACAAAAAGGTTGATGCTTGAATGACGGTCTAGCATGTTTGCAAAAGCCAGTATATATAGTTCCCTTTGCAATAATTCTATACTCAATTCCACAGCTGGGGGGTTGTTACTACTTCCCTTTTTATCGCTGTGCAAATACAGCGGGTCGTGGCAAGGCAACTGCGAGAAAAACACTCTGTTTTCCATCACAACTGCCAACCGACATCTCATTAGAAACACGAAGGCTTTCCGCACCACCAAAATATTGCCCAAGTCGCTTTTATCAGTTCTCATAGGGCCTCGAGTGTCAGGTAAGCATCATATCTCTCAGGCTCTTCATGGGTGATGTTCTGTCCTGGATCGAATAATAACTGTCCTCTCTCCACAGCAGTAACCATGAAGCCAACCAGCGCCAACACCAAGCGTTGCCCCGCCGCTCGCGATTGGACTTCTCTGCACTCAGCCCCCACAGGACTCTTCCCCTCCGTCAAGACTCGATCCCTGAGCCTGGCCACATCTACGTTATTTGCGACTATGACACTGGCCACGCCATTTCCTTTAGTATTCTGCCTCACAATCCAAATCACTGGCCTAGATTCCGGTTCGATCTGTCTCCGTACCATCCACAGGGCGATCGGACCTGTCTGTGGGAGTGTGGGGTAGCGAAGGAGGGATCAGACTTTGGAGCTACACCGACTCCTGTCAGACCCACGGGTCGACAGTCTGTCAACTTCTCAGGGAGAGCGCCTGCGGGCGAGCTAAAGATCAAGCTTAACAGGACTGAGGGGGCCATCGAACCATTTGGTTTGACATATAACAAGATGAGCGAGGGGATCATGTGGTCTGATTCTACCTCGGAGAACAAAGCAACATACAGATATGCAAAGCTGGAGGGAGTCGGTGGTGAGAGGCCTGGGTTGGATAATGTTGATAGATTGGAGGAGATGGCAAGGATAGGATATCCATCTCTTTTTCAGCGCCCTGAGAAAGCTAAGAAGGACATCAACCTTGCTGGGTTGGAGACTCATACGGAGCATAGCCACTTTCCTAGAGCTGTCAAATCGACGTTTGTGCGACAAAATTAGGTAGATAAAATCTAGACAGCAACAGGAGAACTGAGGCTAGGATTTCTCGAAATGGATCAAAGATTCAACAGGCTTTAGTGCGTTGAAATTCTTCATCTGATCTTCTGCTCTCTGTGTGTGTGTGTGTCTGCTAGCCACAGATACTTACCTGGTGACCCATGGCTTCCTGCCCTCGCAGCTGACACGTACAGATGCCCGAGGCAGTCATTCCCAGTATGCTCCCTGAGATTGTTTGCTGAGTCAGGCTCCAGCATCGAGGAAGTTTGAGCTCCTTCTTTGCTCCTGTCGTCCAGATTTCGACTCCCACACAACCACTTTCGATTACAAATTTACATCAGCGTGTGTTCCGGCAGCAACCAGCAGTGAATACCTAGAAATTTTCACTCGAGACGTTTTCAAATCTTGCCATCATGGGTAAGAACAATACATTGCGACAAAAATGCCGACATCCACTGACGAGGCCCTAACAGAAACAATGGACATCGACCAAGTCGGGGTTTCCGGCAACGAGCCGAATTTCCCGTCCTTTTTTATCAATAGTTCGACAGCCCACGACTCTGCATCTGAAATGAGTCTGGCCGACTTGCTCATTTCCGCTCACGGTTCCACCGATATTGAAATGCCCGATTGCCCACCACCAGCACCAAAGGCACAATCTCCTAGCGATTTCCTCGGGCCAAAGGTCGTCCCGGACACGTTCCCAGCACTTGGGCAAACATACCTCCTACGTGTGCCTACAACCGGCTGCATCCTCGGGCATACCAAGCGACGTTTTTTCCTGATCTCGTCGTCGCACAATCCAGAAGAGTCGCCGCACATTAGCTGGAAATGGACATTTGAGGACATCGCTGGTGACGAGACAATGATACGGCTCAAGAGCCCGTGGCTGGAAGGCAATGGCACACGCTGGATCCTGCTGGACGTGAAGCTCAACCCTGATGGCAAGGTGGTGGTTTCGGTGGATTGGGAAATGAGGAGGGATCCCGTCTTGGACAAGATCAAATTCAAGGAGACGTGTCTCTCTAAAGGAGGGAAGCGGCTCGGTGACGACCAGGTTGGGCTTGTGGCAGAGGTGAAGAGAGGGTGTCTGGCGTTTGAGAAGAGAGGGGAGGCAATTGGGTGGGAGTTTATCAGGGTTTCGGGCCCTTAGCTGTAAGATAGGCCCTGTCAATGAATCGGGTGCTGTTTCTTTCGTTCGCAGAACAGAGGATTGATGTTGTCACGTTAGGCTTTGCCGCTTTGTCACCCGTCCATCAGGTTATCCTGTTGGCAGTTCATCTCTCGTGACCAACAGCCAGTTCATGCCAACCAACCAACAAACACCACTGGATTCGCACTGAGTAGGCTGCACTGTTGAATTTTTTTGAATTTTTAGATCAACCGAGTACCCCACTCACTATCGCGCTTATACTTCGTCCGTTCTCCTTTTTCTTCTTCTTTTGAGATTTGTAAATATCGACAGAATGGCCGACTTGGCTGAGCTCAACCGCCACGTCGGAACAGAAGCACCTTCTGGGCCTGTTCCCAAGCCCGAACTGGGTGAACCTTTTGCTCCAGGACTGGAACCATCTGCCAGACAAGAAACTGAGGCGCACATTTCCCACCAAGGGCTCCAAGTTGATCGGCGCCAGACACTACGGAAGATCGCTCTGGGAGCCAGACCGCCAAGATCACAGCGCAACTTCCCGATGGCAGTGTCGGAGATTTTTTCCTCCAGGTTCGTGGACGGTCTTCGCTCTCATACTGGCCACCTTACTTGCTGACAGTCTTCTAGAGAGCACCCGAGCGATCCCTGGGTGCCACTGCCAAAAGAATGATCACAGCCGAAATCTCTGGATTGAACGCAATTGGCTCGGTGTCCCCCTCTTTCGTACCCGAAGCCTACGGCTGGGGTTCATTCTGGGACGAGACCACAGAATCTACGTCTTACTTCTCACTCGCCCTCCTCCCACCACATCGGACTTCAAACCACCCGCCCCGCAAGCCTTCGTCGCCTAGCTCGCTCATCTCCACAAGACATCCATCTCCCGCACAGGAGAATTTTGGCTTCCACGAACCTCCCTGCCACGGCACCAAACCCTTACGACGTCATCAAGTGGCAACCATCCTGGACGACCTTATTCCGCGACATCCTCGGCCACACCATCTCGCTTTCTCAGCAACAGCACGAAGGGCATCACAGCCATGACGAATTCCAGCGCATTAGTCACTTGGTTCTCAACAACGTAATTCCTCGTATGTTGGATCCCTTGGAAGGGAAGATCAAGCCCTGCTTGATCCATGGTGATCTCTGGGATGAGAACAGCGCTGCTGATGAGACAACTGGGAAGCCATTTGTCTTTGATCAACGGCGTTCTACGCCCACAACGAACACGAGATTGGGAACTGGAGGGCGGTGAGGCATAGGCTGAGTAGGAAGGAGTATGTGGAGCAGTATAAGCGGTGTTTTCCGCCTGATGAACCTGGTAGGCCTTTACCTTTCAACAAGTTGAGACTCAAGGGAGGTGGTGCTAATGATGGGGGTAGTTGAGGAGTGGGATGATAGGAATCTGTTGTACTCGCTCCGCTTTGATCTTTCGGCTGCGGTTCTTATTCCGGGGTCAGATCCTCGAGAGATGTGAGTCGTGCTGCCTTGCTTTTTGTGTTTCTTGGCGTCAAGATCAGGGCTAGTACGTTGGCTTAATATCATGACCAACATGAAGACACTGTGCAACAAGTATTGCCCAGAGGAGTTGGGCACGATTGTTGAGCAGGTACCTTAGGTACCTAGGGTTGCGATGGGCGACGCGTTCCCGCCTTCTGATTACTGGTCTTTTCTGAAAACCACTCACCAGCACCCCCCTCCTCCCATCTGATCCATGTACGAAGACACGAGCACGTCTCGAGGCTCAGTAAGGACAACCAGTGAGTCGTAGCTATGATCCAATAGGCTAAAACCAGAATCGCTACCTACTACACCTGCTGTTTGATGACTGAGCCGGGCTGAAGTGGGCTTCTGGGCAGCATTAATAAACACTTCTTGGAACATCTGGAGCGTCACCACTTGGGCATTCGGCCATAATCCAATCCAATATCGTCAGAGGCGAATTGCTGCTTAATAACAACCACCACCCGGCACCTTATCTCGCCGAACAAGAAACACGCAAAAGCTGACTGTGATCGGCGGTTAAACCATTCGGCCACTCGCATGCACACGCAAGATCTGTCGACGAATGATTTGTGTTACCAAGACCCAAAACCACAAAATCGCCATGCGAACCTGGCATCTGTCCCCGCACGCTTACCAAATCCATCAATTCTCAAGAAGGGGGGGCGCAGCAACTATCTGATACGGAAGCAGTGGCCTGCATGCCACGACTTTTTGCAACAGGCCTCACAAACAAGGTTCATGACGAACTCTGACTTCTCACTGGCGAATGGCTGGCTACGTACCCCCTACGAAGCCATTGAATCCACTATCAAGCGTCGTCTACAGGGTCGGAATACCACTTTGAGCTGCAGACTCATGCAGGTCATTGTGGGTTTCTTCAAGGGTATCAAGGATGGGCTTTATGAAAAGGCCGGGTCTCATCCCACCGGGGGCAGATGTCCCAGGGACCGTCGCATGCTTTCCTGGTCTTTTTCTCTCTTTTTCTCGTAAAAGAGCAAAAACGGTGAAAGATGGTCATCTTCAACAGCATCGTCCTGACGGGCGTTCTGGTCTCATCAGTCTTGTACATTTTTGCGTCCAGGATCAAGACCTATCTCCGGCTCCGGCATATCCCCGGCCCTGCTGGGGCGGCACTGTCTCGATCATGGATTTTCAAAAAAACCATGGCGGGCAGGATCCCAAATGCGCTTGCCGAAGTCGCCGGCGAGTATGGACCGTTGGCAAGGGTTGGACCGAACTGGTAAAGACACCCTCCAACTCGCCTACGTCCCGCGTATTCAGACTAACTCCATCATCACAACAGGCTCATCTGCAGCGACACCAAAGAGATCCGCCGGATGTGGTCCGTCCACTCAGGCTGGCACCGCGACGTCTGGTACAACGGCTTCCGCTTCGACCCAGCCAACGATAACATCCTCACCGCTAACGAGAACAAAGTCCACCACCGCATCCGCAGCAACGTCCTCCCGGGGTATAACGCCAAAGGAATAACCACACAAGAAGGCGTGATCGACACCCAAGTCGAGAAGCTTCTGGGGCTTATCGAGAAGAAATACGTCTCCTCCAAGGAAACCGGCATCCGACCCATGGACATGGCGCGCAAGTTCCTTTACTTCACCCAAGACACCACCTCCGCGCTGGGGTTCACCACTCCCTTTGGGTATCTGGATGTTGACGAGGATTTCAACAACACGATCAGCACCCTGGAGGGCATGCTCCCCACCGTCACCACCCTCGGATTGTTTCCGGTGATTATCTCCTTGATGAACAACCCCCTGGTGAAAAGCCTGCTCCCCAAACCGCATGACGACAACGGGATGGGGAAGCTGCTTGGGCTGATCAAAGACAGGGTTGATGCCCGGTACGAGAACAAGGCCAAAGGGGAGGAGGACATCCTCCAGCGGTTTGTGGAGAGTAACCTCTCTCGTCAAGAAGTCGAGGCGGAGGTGTTGATCATGCTGTTTGGGGGGACCGACACTACCGCCACGGCGCTGAGGATGACGGTGTTTTATCTTTCAACCACCCCCGCCGCGTACGGTGCTCTTCAGGCGGAAATCGACAACGCGATCAGGTCGGGGAAGGTCACCAGGCCGGTTATTGCTGACGCTGAGGCGCTCGAACTGGGTTATCTGAATGCGGTCATCAAGGAAGGGTTGAGAATGTGGCCGCCTATCTCGGGACTGCAGCTCAAGTGCTCTGACAAGGATGATGTCATTTGCGGATATCAAGTCCCCGCGGGCACGGCAGTGGGGATATCCGAGTTTACCGTCATGAGGAATAAGAGTGTTTTTGGGGAAGATGCAGACAGGTTTAATCCGAGCAGGTGGGTGGAGGAGAGGGACCCCAAGAGGTTGAAGGAGATGGAGTTGACGCAGGGGTTGGTGTTTGCTTCGGGGACGAGGTGGGAGTGCTTGGGGAAGAAGTTGGCGTATACCGAGTTGAGAAAGGTGTTGTTCGAGGTGAGTGTTTTTCGTTGCTGATCTGATCAAAGCTGCATGGGAATGATGCTGACAATAGGGACCGACAGTTGTTTTTGAGATATGACTTTGCCATGACTGACCCGGCGAAGCCGTTTGAGTATTGGAACTATGGGGCGACGCTGCATGAGCATATGAATGTGACGATTACGAGGAGGGAGGCTTGAGGCGAAATGCCTTGGGTGCGGTGAAGGCAGAGGCTATCCGGTGGTTGTTTCTTCACTCCTACTATGTATTCAGAAGCGCTTCCAACGTTTATCAAACGTTGTATCACGATCGAATAAACGTCGTTCATACTTGCAACCATCCATGTCGTCCCAACCCCATCACCTCACCCATCATGCTCCCCAACCTCGACAAACCCCCACACCGTCGCCCTGTCCGTTCCCGCCAAATACCACCTCTCCTTATTCACCGTCCCATCCGGCGCAATCGACACATCCACCCACCTCAAAGTATCCCAATGCTTTATCAACAACACATACCCATCCCTCTCCTTCTCCTTCCCCCCAGCTCGATCCACAAACGGAACCCTCCTCACGCAAAACCACTCCCACGCTTTACAGTGCGGAGCAGTCGCCACCACTTCCAGCTTTCCATTCTGGCCCAGATATGTCCCACTAGCCACATTCCTAAAACCAAGCCATCCTTCCTTGGTGATGCACTCCCAGAACCAACACCCAGTCGTCACATTCATCCGCCGTAGCTCCTGCAGCTTGAGCTGCCCCCCACATAGGGTCATGGCCCTCAGGATCTGGTTGCTGCTGTCTTCCTCATCGGTGGGGCAATGAGGATGCGGCGAGGAAGGAAGATGCAGTGCGGTAATGATGTAAGTCTTTCCTGGTGTGGGGATCGCACCCTCTTTGCAATATGGGAGGGACAGAGGGATGCACATCTTCTGACGCTGCGGAGATGACGCACGGGAGGTAGAGGGGCTGGCGAAGGAGAAGGAGGTGGAGGGGGGTGTTGGGGGGTCGTTCTCGAGGTCGTCGTAGTCAGAGCCGATTTGGGTGGAGATGATGGAGGGGGGTGGTTTGGGGGTTTTGGTGGGGGTGGATTGTTTGGACATTTTGTGATGGTGGGAATGAACTGACACGCAAAAGGCGGGACGGATGGAAGATCAGGTAGGTAGGTATGAGTGTGTGATATGGGAATGCCCGGCGGCGGGGAAGGATAAAATATTGGGCATGAACGGGGTGGCGAACACTAGCGGTTGTTGTCCAATCAATTCGACATGGGAGGAGATGATGGGGCGTGCAAGCGCCTGTTAAAGATTGCAAACGCCAGAGATAAGTGATAAGAATGCAAACATGTACAGAATAAGGTGCTTGATATTAAAGGCCTACGGCTGGGTACAGGTGTAGGTCATAGGTAAAAGATTCAATTGTTAGATAAAGAAGAAAACAAAAACTTGCCCCACAATGTTCTCGTAAACATATCAAATCCTTCCGACTTCCACTATACATGCCGCACCTATCCAAAATATAGGTAACGTACATTATAAGCGAGTGCACCACTTTTTAAGCGACGCACCATCCTTCCACGCAATATCGACTTTTTCTACACAACCCAATATGCCTCCTACTTTAAAGGAAGCCAGGGTGATCCTAGCCCTCGAAGCTCTTGAAAAAGATAAAAATCTCAGCCTCCGAGCCGCAGGAAAGATCTATAACGTCCACCATACGACTCTCTTACGACGACGCGCTGGCCGGCCTGCACGACGCGATACTACGCCCAAATCGAAGAAGCTTACTTAACCCGAAGAGGATGCTATTGTCCAATATATTATTGAGCTATATGCGCGAGCTTTTCTATTAAGATTGCGTAGTGTAGAAGATATGGCTAACCAACTACTACGTATACGCGACGCGCCCCCTGTTAGTAAGCTTTAGGTATATAATTTCGTTAAACGTTAGCTATAGCTCCGTACGCGGTATATATATAGGTACGATTATTAAAGGGCTAAGTGCGAGGATCTAAAGGTTATTAGCGAGTGGTTTATATTTATATAGAATACTATAGTTAAGTACGGTATTATAAATAACGATATTTATAATTTCGACGAGACTAGGTTTATAATAAGTATTATTTTTATAAGTATAGTAATTATAATTTTAAACGGCTTTAGTAAAATAAAATTAATTTAGTTTAGTAACCGCGAATAAATAATAATAATTTAAGGAATTAATATTTTCGGTTAAATTATTTTTCCTTTTATTACTTTAATTATATAATATTATTTTATTAATTAATATATTAAATATAACCTACTATTTATTTAATATATTATAATTATTAATAATAATTAAATTATTAATTTAATAAATTTATATTAAATTAAGTATTTTAATTATTATATAGCGTTTTATATAAAGGATAAATATTAATTATTAATCTTTAACGACTATAAAAGTTATTAATCGATTAAATTCGAATATTATTATTAATAAAATAATATTATTATACTTTATATACCTCTATACTCCTCCTACTTTCTTTAATTATTTAATATTAATTACTTTAGGCTATTAAAATAAATATATAGTCGCTAGATCGAGGATTTAATACGTATATATATTAATTATATAAATAAATTTAAGTTCTTTTATACCTTCCGCGAAACTTTTTTCGTTTCTATAATAAAAAAAAATATATAAAATAGCTTTACGGGTATTAACTTTATACCGTACGATCTAAAAAAAGTATTTTCTAAGTTAAATATAAAGCTTTATACACTAATACCTCTAAACTTACGGCCCGGCACTATATAACCTTAGGTCTCCTAAATACTATATAACCCTCGAGAAGCTAATTTATAATCAACGCTTATTAAGACTCGCATTATTAACTATTAAAATAGCTCTCCGACTTTAATACTAACTACGGTAGACTAGTTTACTAAGGGTATAACGGCTATAATGCACTAAGTGGCTTTCCTTCGTATAGAGGTTTCTTTGCTCCGTAAGGCTAATGAGGCACTAAGTAAGCGCCAGAGAGCTAAAAAAAACACGTATGAGGCTTAGAGGGTCACTTACTGTAAAAGAGGCACAGGATCTACTGGATCAGAAGGCCGTGGATATGGAGGGAGTGTAAGAAACGCAGCCGGATAGTAGTAATGCAGGGGGGGGGCTCGTACGAAGGTTCAGTGCTGTGGTGTATGCGGTAAGCCTGGCCATAATGCGCGCACTTGCCAGGAGGCTGCAGAAGCATCTGATTCAGCTGTTTCTGATGTAATTATAGTTAATTCCTTGTGTTGATGTGGTGTAATTGAGGATAGTATTCGTAGGGTGGTGGAAAGTGGTGCACTCGCTTATATGGTGCACTCGCTTATATGGTGCACTCGCTTATATGGTGCACTCGCTTATAATGTACGTTATACCAAGATTATCCAAACTTCCTCGTAACCCATTAGACCTTTCCGCGTCCCACGTTCATCTGAAAATAAACACTAACCCAGATATCATCCTATAACACTTAACAGTCTATAACCATTTATCAACACCGTCTTGAGATTTCTCCTTCTCTTTAAGGGAGAGGGAGCTTCAGGGTTTTAGCGATCCCCTTCAACCCACTGATCTCGGTTGTGATATCCACCCGACGCCGTTTGCTCCTGGCCTGATCCTCCCCTTCCTCCTCACCAGACCATGGTCTCCGCTCGGCCCCCCTAGGCAGCGATCGACGAGGAGAGTAGGCGCGTGTAAAGTCCAGAGTGTCAGGTGATCCATCCTGATCTTCCTCGCCATCATCATCATCACTCTCGCTGAAAAGGGGCGACATGGTTTCCTTTTGCTCAGTTTCTCTCATCTCTTCATCATTGTCTTCATCTTCGTCCGTCTCCTCGTCGTCCTGATCCGCCTTACAGTTGTCACACTCTTCCGGGACCTCTGTTTGGAATACCACCTTCAGTCTCTCCTCAGCCTCACGGTTCATGATGGGCCAGACGGGTGATTGCAACAGCCGATTAGCCTCGTACAGCCTGTCGCTCCGCATGATCCACTTGATCCGAACCAACTTGTAGTTCTCACCGCTGGTGTCCCTCTGGTTGTCCAGTCGGATGGCCAGACAAAATGGGGTGCGTTCCGGACAACAGCATAGTTCTACGCTCCAGCTATCTGGCGCCCGCTGACCCCGTCGGGTCCGCGCAGTGCGCCGATGCGCCTCGGCCTGATCCTGTGAAAGTGCCAATACAAAGTTCAGGCAACGCCAGTTGTCCAGGTCCCCGTCGCGGCGCAGCTCCTGGTCCCAGGTGGAGGGCGTAGTCCGCTTGGTATCGCAGTGATTGCTGATCACACCGTCACTGTCAGTCCCGTCCAACTCAGCATCTCCCAAGAGGTACTCGGCTTGTCGAAAACACTCGTCGCGTTTTCCTGAAGAGTTACCAATGACAAGGGCCACGAAAAAGCCCTCGACCGCTGACAGATCACACCACTGCGGGTGATTCTGGGTGGCATACCTCGCAGGCGCAAAGAGCTGCACGAAATTGACCAGGATCCAATAGCTTTTGCCCATGGCCTGCACGACATCCCACCCAGTTCGCAGCGGATCAATATCGAACCACATCAGCTTCAAGACGTTTAGCTCCGATCCAACAGAGCCTGGGGGGATACGCCACACTTGATACCTCAGGCAGTAGTTGGCTTCCTCTGGACAGCAACAGTACTCATCCACGCCCTGCAACATGGCATTCACGCAGGCCCATGCTCCCCAGTTAGCAATGGATGGAGGGTCCCGGCCGACAATCAGCGCACCCTGGCCCTCAGCTTCGCATGGGAGCCTGACTTCACTGTAGCCAAGAAAGTGGTGATGCCTGTGTCGGGCGACGCGGTAGGTAACTCGGGAGAAGAAAGCTTCTGCCATGGCGGTGTCGACGAGCGAGAGGTCGTCATGGTTGTCGGTAGAGCTGGGCGACAGAAAGACCGCAAAGTTGATAGGGTTCCAGTTCCACAGTCTGCTGCTGGCGAGGTGGCTCAGCGAGTTGTTTGCACTGGACGGAGGCTGCCAGAACACGATGGAAGGGAGGTGATTGCAGGCACGGCTGTTCCGCTGCCTCGCAAGATCCCGCTCAGCCTCGACCTCGGCCTTTTCCTCCGCCGTGACTTTGAGGGTGCCCGACTTGTCAACAGAGGTGTCTTGCATTTTGCTCAACTGAGCCAACACCTTGTTGAATCCTTTTCCGGTTATGCCCGCCAGCTTCCTGATCTCGGCGGTTGACTGCCGAATCATGTCGTCCGTAACCTCACAGCCCTCCCTATCCATGTCTCTCATCATCTGCAAAATAGGGTTCGCCACCAGCATTGCTAGCATGGATGTGTCCATGGTTCCCTGCCTGAGCCCCCCATCATCCGCCATCTTGGACAGTTTCTCCACCAACCTGTCCAAGCTATTCCCCTTTTGTTGCAAGGAATCGACTGTCTCGACCAGTCTGGTCAACCAGTCAGACTCAGCTTGTCGGTTCTCCAATGAACCTCTCCTCACACTGCTCGGCATACCATTCTGTTCCGAGAGGTCCAATTCGAAGGGAGCGAATTCTGGTTGTCTGGGCAAGGCAAAACCGTTGTCGAGGTCTTGTCCTGGGTTGCGCGAAAGGTGACGGGTATCTGTTTGCATACGGATAGGCGCGGAGCGATGGGAGATCTGGCGTAGAAGACGGTCCCTAATAGCTCGCTGCGGAGGTATTCTTGGGTTGAGAAAGGCTGGTTTCCCGTTGGGTGTGTGACCCAGGAGACCCATTTTCAAATGAGATGTCAAAGGGCGATGGCCTTAACGTGTACTGCTGTTGCTTGAGTACTGGAAGAGAGAGAAGGAGAAGAAAGAGAAGAGTGAGAGGAGAGACAGAGGCAAGAGAGAAGAGAGGTAGGAAGGCAATAGAGACAAAAAGGCAAGAGAGAAAGAGAAGGTATGTGTGACTTATACCTGGGAGAAAAGCCCAGTCATGATATCTTCCGAGGTGGCAGTTCACATGGCACCGTTTGGATGCGTGGGTGGGGATGTGGCGTTGGCAATCGGATTCCAGCTTGTCCTCAACCGTTTGCCGCTATTGTTCGTGTTGGTGTATCGGTGGCTGGATGGTGGAAAGCTGCCTGGAGAGGCTCCCGCATGTTCGCGATAGATCGATGGATGAGCGTTCTGGAAATGTTACTGAAAGGCCCGCGAACGACACTGCATTGAGGAGGCAGGAAACAAGAGGAGCTGCGCCTGGCCGATGTGAATCCCGACGTTGTCGCCCACCGCCCTTCCCCCCCCCCCCCCCACCCCTCCCACGGAGACACCATCTTGTTATAACCAGGTCGGGGGGTTGACGATGTCCGAAGATACAGATCTTCTGAGGAGCACCCAAGTGGGCTGGATGGAACCTTCAATGGTTTTTCTCTCCCTCCATGGACATGGACAACT